GGGTGGGGGGTGCAGCTGTGGTTGGGACAATTATTACATTAACTGATGGACTTGTAAATAAATAGTTTATAAATAAGGTAGAAATAAGTTCCTCACGCTGATAAATAATAACTAATCTCTCTGAGGATACGGTGCTAGTGCACTCTCCTACAGCACCTTGACACGACTAAATACGTATTATGCAATTTTTTGTGAACATCAATTTATTTGCATGTATTTGTTATGAATGCCACAGTATAATTCTTGCTGTCAGTATTTGCAAGATATTGGTATTTGGGTCTGTACTGGTTAGACTTAAATGAGTTAAACCAAGGTCTACAGCCCTTGGGTCATAAACTATGAGCTATAAGTATATTGGTCTTTTTATACTGGGAATCAGGAGTTATTTTAGTGATCATCTTGTTTCTTATTGTAATAAAAATGAACTTGTCATCTGTTGTATAATTGCTTTATACAAGTTATTGATCACTACTGTTTGTCAATCACACTTATCATGAGGATGTAATCAAGGAGAGCCGAACATAATGTGATCATGAGGATGTAATCAAGGTAATCCTGGTGGAGGTGTGCAGCTTTGCACGCACATCAGGGAATGTATAAGGAGCAGAGCAGAGCTCAGAGCGGTTAGAGCTGTTTGAAGGATTCTATTTGACGAGGTTCATGGATTACGTTTTCTAACTGGGGTGTTCAGCTCTCCACCCATAAGCAACGGTAAGAGAAATGTTTCGTTCATGATTGATAACTTGTATGAATGCCGGTTGAATAAAGCCTTGTTGTTCATCTGATATTCAAGTTGTGTTTCATTGTTTCTGGCGTCGACTTGACAACGATCCTGATTAAATAAATATAAAGTGTAAAAAGAGACTTTGAGTCTTTTAAGGTAATTAAAATAAAATAAAACATTTTATTTTAGAACATTTTTGGCGTCACGAACAGGATCAGTCAAGCTATTCCAGCAACAATGAAGTGTTTTTGGAGAAGCAAAAAGGAGCCGAGTGCTTCTGGGGAGGGAACGCCGATTCCCGTGCCGATTCCCGGCTGGGAAACGGAGGAGTTCCGAACCATTGGTGATATGTTAAGGCAGCGCGGTGGACGCCCTGGGCCGTGGGGAGAGTTAAATGGAGTGGTCAGCCCCGCCGTGGTGCTGGACCGTTTGACGCGGATAGAAGTTAAAGAAAAAGCGCCGCTGGCAGGAGTGAGAGATATGATGTGGCTTTTTGCAGAAGCATGGAAAAAACAGGAGTTAGAATTGAGCAGTTGTAGAGAGCGAGCGGCGCAGGAGAAAATCCATGCTGAAGAAGTTGAAAAATCATGCTCAGAGTTTGAGCAGAGAGTGTGTGTGATGGGGAAAGAGCTAAAGCATGCTCAGAATGTTTTGGATAAAACGCTGACTTTTGTGTCTCGAGCGCAAAGGAAGGAAAAGAAGCGACCTCGTAGAGCAGGTCCTGCTCAGATCCGGGCGTTTGTAAAGAATGTTGGTGAAGATTGGAACCCAGAGAAATGGAACGGGGATCTTTGGGGGGATGATGAGGAGGAGGAGTGGGCGATTAAACCTGACCCACCACCTCAGCCCTTGTATCCATCATTACAGGGGATAAAGATGTCAGAACAAAGACCTATTACTAGGCGTCGGCGAGAACAGCAAATTATTCCACCAATACTGGTAGATATGGTGGATGATCAGGGACGGCCGGAACTCGATGAGGCGGGTAATATAAGAAGGATGTTACAACAGCAGCCACAACCCGCCCCTAGGCTGCTAACAACGCTAGAGGATTATTCACAAGATGAGTTAAATCACATGAATGGGAAGCTGAAACAGCGCCCAGGCGAACCAACTGACTCCTGGCTTAATCGCCTTATGGAGGATGGCGCGTGTGATATAGCCATAGATGCCGGTGATGCCATGAGATTTTCAGGATTAAGTACTGATGCACAGATAAATGCTGAATACCGGGCTACAGTCCGGGCATTGCCAGCTGATGAAGATTTCAATGTGGGGGATGCATATGCTCTGGCATGTCATGTAATCTATCCTACCACGGCGGACTGGTCTGAGATTAAAGGGCAATGGCAGACAGTGAGAGATGCCATTCAGCGGCTCACCAGACTCACTATTAGAGAGCAAGTGGCTCGAAACGGGGGAGCTGGAGTGGTGGACTGTAACATCTCTAAGGCAACTAGAGATCACCTCATCAGACATGCCCCACCACATTATAAACCCATGGTGACCAGCTTGTTGTTTGGCGCGGCAGACCAGACTTTTGCCGCGATAAAAGATCGTCTTGGCGAACTCACCACGCTGGGTGATTGGTCTGAGACGAGGAGAGAGGGAGCTAGAACTGAAAATAAACCCAGGATTGATCCACATTCAAGGGGTCGTAAAGGGGGGGCAATGGGCCCCTCTAGAACAGATCTGTGGAGGGCACTGCGACAAGCGGGAGTGCCGTTTGAGGAGATTGATGGATTGCCCACTAATGCATTGATGGAGAAATGCAGACAAATGGGACTGAAGGTCCATTGTCAGTTCAGACATTGTCCTGAAAAGGACGACAGGATGTCTGTGTCAGAATTGGTTGGAATGTTGCAGAATGTGATCAGGGAGGTGGCGTCGAAGCCTGCTGAACCTTCCGCCCCTCCCAAGGAATCTTCAGAGGAGGAGAGTTCAGATGAGTGTTATCAGGTGGCGGCAGTGAAGCGTAGAAAGAAAAAACAGCACCGAAGGGAACATGATGATGAATAGGATGAAGGTCAAGCTCAGGTTGTTGCCAGTGCCTCAGGATGGTCAATAAATGATATCAGACCACATGTGGAATTACAGATTTATTGGAAAAAATCAGTACAGACAGTAATGGCATTGGTTGACACTGGGGCGGAGGCCTCGGTAATTCATGGCAATCCTGATAAAATAAAGGGAAACATTGTAGAAAAAGGAGTATCAATGCTCCACGAGCAAGTGGCAGACGTTCCAGAAATGGATGAAGTGCCTTTTGAGGTAAAACCAATCCAGGATTCTCCTGTGAAACTGGGGGTAAGATGGAGCGAACTCACCCCAGAGCAGCAGGAGCGAGCCTGGTTCACTGATGGTTCCTGTCAATATGTGGCAGGAACCAGGAAATGGAAGGCTGGGGCATTTAACCCTGGTACACAACAAGTTATGGAACTCACAGGGACAGGAAAGAGTAGTCAATGGGCGGAGTTGAAAGCAGTACACATGGTAATAATGGCGGCTGGGGTGCAGGGAGTAAGTATTTATACTGACTCCTGGTCAGTAGCCCAAGGAATGTTAACTTGGATGCCAACTTGGCATGCTACACAATGGAAGATACATTCAAAAGAGGTTTGGGGAGCTGACCTATGGAAGGACATTTGGGAGAAATGCCAAAATATTCCTGTGTCAGTATTACATGTGGATGCTCATACTAATAACAATGATCCTGAATCCCTGCATAATCAGACTGTAGATAAGATAGTGAAAATTCAGGCTGTAAGACAATCAAGTCCTGGATTAGCCAAATGGGCTCACGTTACTGCTGGACATTGGGGTGTGCAGGGAACATTGAAATGGGCGAGGGACAGAGGAATAGATCTCATCATTGATGATATTAAAACTGCCATAGAAGATTGTGAACCTTGTCAACATCAGAAAAAGAGAATCCCTCGACATATACAGGGACAGATACATCGAGGTAAACAAGTGGGACAGTGTTGGCAGATTGATTTCATTGGACCATTGCCAAAAAGTAAAAACTGTAAGTATGCATGCACAGCCGTGGATACGGTGTCAGGGGTACTGGTGGTGCATCCGTGTCATAACGCCAATCAGGAGGCTACATTGAAATGTCTGTCATTAATAGAGACCTATTATGGACTACCTTTGCAGGTTCAGACTGATAATGGTACCCATTTCACTGGAAATAAGATCAAAGAATGGGCAGAGAACAACGCGGTAGAATGGATCTATCATGTAGCATATCACCCGAAAGCTAGTGGACTCATTGAGAGAATGAATGGGTTACTGAAAGAGAAACTAAGGAAACTATCGGTTACTAATTCTTTGGATAAATGGAGAGAAAATCTGACTAGGGCAGTACATCAGTTAAATAACAGACCCGTGGGGGATGGAGTTACTCCACTGATGCTAATGGTTGCTAGGGCAGGAAGGGAAACAACTTCTACTGACCCTCCTATACGAATGTGGAAACTAACTTCTGAGGCAGAACTCCCTGTTAGAGCAACTGCGGGCTCTGTGGGATTAGATCTTAAAATCTTGGAAAGCATCACTTTAGTAACCAATAAAGTGACAGTGGTAAAAACAGGATTGGGAATTCAATGTCCACCAGGAACTTATGCTCATGTGTGTCCAAGAAGTGGTTTAGCTTTGAGGGGTCTAACCATTTTAGCTGGGGTAATAGACTCAGACTATCAAGGGGAAATAGGTGTGGTGTGTCAGCATACAGGTAAAGAACCGTTGGTACTGGAAAAAGGAGACAAGATAGCTCAGTTAGTAATCAAACGGTGTGTAATGTCCAAAGTTGAAGAGATTACTAAACCTACCACTATCACTCAGAGGGGTGAAACTGGGTTTGGATCATCAGACTTTACTGCGGGGGCAAAAGTGTGGGTGGAGCAGCTCAATGGTCCTCCCAGAGCTGGAGAGATTATTGCACAGGGAAAAGATGCTGTGGTAAGTGTATTGTTCCCCGGAGAGGAAAAATGGATTAATATTCCGATAAACAAATGTTACAGGAGAGAAAATTAATGCTTGTCATTCTATCTGCAGTTTTGTATGTATCCCATAGGCGGGTGTCTGAGTGACGGTGGTTGACTGGGTCCCCTTCCCCTACAAAAGGATTGAACCCTTGTCGAGGCGATGGATGGGCTCCGCGGACCTGGTGGTGTCGGATGTTTGGTCATCGTCCTCCATGTCCTCGCTGTCATCGCACTGAGGGCACATTTCTGTTGGGGGCTCACGGAAGGACAAGTGTTGGAAGATGTCCAACCGCACTCAAGGCACATTCACATGCAGAGCAAATGACGCTTGCTACTTGGGAAACCTAACATCTACCGGTAAGATGTACCGGTGCAGAGGATGTCTTAAAATCCGAGGAAGGGTGATCAGCCCGGGGGTGTTGGTTCAAGGATCAACAGTAACCTTTAATTCTGCAGCGCGCATCTGTGCATACCATCAGGGGAATGGTACTTGCATACAAAATGGCACAAATTGGAGTATGAAGGTTGATCGCGATTTCCGGATCAGGAATGGAACTGTAATCACAGGAGGATACGCCTATTTGTACATATTCTGGGTGCTGCCCGACACAGCTAGAGCTACGCAGACAGCTGTAGCTCCCCTGGTTCACACTTGTCAACAAATGGGACAAATAAGGGTAGCCGAATATGTGCGATGGACTGTGAAATTCCCTCCTATTCCGCCTTGTAACAGGAGGAGGCGAGCATGGTATGACACCGTGCTAGGAGGAACTGGAACTTTGTATGGTCTGGCTAACACAGCAGACAATGAGGTGACACGAACTATGCTGTCCAACACTGGAGAATACACCGCACAAGCTGTCACCAAGACTGCAAGATGGATGCCTTCGACTGTATCTAGTCAGTTAGAAGGAAGTGATGTGTGGAAAAGTGTATTTAAATGGAATCTAAAGCTTTGGAATGAAACTTATGATGCATTGCATAATTTGTCACACATAGGTAATTGGACAGTCTGTTCCTTGCAGACTATTCATGCTGAGACACAGAGAAATAGGTTTCAAATACAGGTAATGAGTAATAACTATCATGCATGGCGAACATTATGGAACATCAGTAGTTCATTATGGCTACAGCTACATGCAGAAATGACGATTTGTAATAAATCTATGTGTACTGGATACTGGGATCAGTATAATATGACATCAGTAATGACTGTGTGTAGATATCAGATACTGCCGGTGATAACCACTAAAGGGTTTTGGTATCTCCATGTTAGTGGAGAGTGGTGGGATGTTAAAACAAATCGAACATATGAAGTAAAACACTGTGATGAGATTGATAAGGGTTTAGCCTGCCCATTGGTAAAAGGACATAGCAATCCATGTTTCACTGATTCAAGGGTCGTACTCTGTGATTGGACGGTCACACCCCCAGAGGAACAGTTTTGGCAGGTGGGTCCTAACACCTTATGCGTGGCTACAATGACCAATTCCCCACAGGTACCTTCAGTTCCCTTTTCAGGTTGTCTCAAGGGTATACATATGTGGGAATGGAATAACGTGACCTATTGGTTGAGTAATTACACTGTATCTAGTCGGCTGACTAAGATACAATGGGAGGTTTTACACTCCCCTTGGACACTCTCACTGGAACGATTCAAATGCGCATTGGATGGTTCCACTGAAGTGGCAAAATTGATTGACTCTCATAGGTCCAACCTTTCCAGGCTCATGGTGTCTACTCTTGTGACACAAGGGGAAATAAAACATGTTGCTACATTGATTGAACAGGCTTCCGCTCACCATTGGTGGGATATATTTACAGGCATGTCGAGTACCGCTAATAAAGTGCTAATTCCACCTATGATTGCAGCATTAATTATAATCAGCATTCTAACATTGTGTAATCTTATTATTTGTTGGTATGTTATTCGATTAAGAAGAGAAATAAATTGGGTAATAATGCAAAGACTACGATGAAAATTAAAGTGGAACTACAAGGTATGTTATAAATGACGTTGGTTTTGATGGGGAAATGGTGATGGATATGTTACATAAATTAGATGAAAAGTTCAAGAGTGGAATGTAATAAAAATGAACTTGTCATCTGTTGTATAATTGCTTTATACAAGTTATTGATCACTACTGTTTGTCAATCACACTTATCATGAGGATGTAATCAAGGAGAGCCGAACATAATGTGATCATGAGGATGTAATCAAGGTAATCCTGGTGGAGGTGTGCAGCTTTGCACGCACATCAGGGAATGTATAAGGAGCAGAGCAGAGCTCAGAGCGGTTAGAGCTGTTTGAAGGATTCTATTTGACGAGGTTCATGGATTACGTTTTCTAACTGGGGTGTTCAGCTCTCCACCCATAAGCAACGGTAAGAGAAATGTTTCGTTCATGATTGATAACTTGTATGAATGCCGGTTGAATAAAGCCTTGTTGTTCATCTGATATTCAAGTTGTGTTTCATTGTTTCTGGCGTCGACTTGACAACGATCCTGATTAAATAAATATAAAGTGTAAAAAGAGACTTTGAGTCTTTTAAGGTAATTAAAATAAAATAAAACATTTTATTTTAGAACACTTATTTTCGTCCTGATTGTGCCCTGAGCAATTTTATGACTGAATAAAAGCAAATAAAATCAACATAAATTGAAAAATCGTCCTAAATAATCGTGATCTCAATTTCAGTCACCATAATCGTGATTATTATTTTTGCCATAATCGAGCAGCCCTACTTTGCAGGTGTTTTGAGTAAATCAGCTGATTAGAGTGGCAGCAGGTGTCTTCTATATTCAGCCTTTTCAGAATATTCTAATTTTTTGAGATACCAAATTTGGAGTTTTCATTAGTTGTCACTTATGAATATCAAATTTAAATGTAATGAACATTGGAAATACATTGGTCTGTGTGCATTGCATGAATATAATGTACAAGTTTCACGTTTTGAATGGAATTACTGAAATATTTTCAACCTTTTGATGATATTCTAATTTACTGGCCAGCACCTGTAGTGTAATGACTCCAACTTGTTCTTTCCGTTTCGGATCTTTAGTCTGGGTTACTGTTGGCCGCAGCCCACGCCTTAACCTCCAGAAACAACGTTAACAATCTCCATTCAAACCAGCTTGTTTTCTCTTTCTAAACAACCAAATGGGAACTCTCCACACAACCAGCCAAGAAAACCCCCTTCAACATAAAAGTCCAACCATAACTAATTGTAACACGTTACACTATTGTAAAACGTGAAAAATATAGCCTATATTTGCACACCTATAATACCCATATTTGTAGTTTGAAATTAATTTAATTATCGTGAAACGTTAAAATTTGACTATATTTTGAAAAGCCACTGGCTCCTTCCTGTCTAGCTGCGGTGCTTCGGGTGCACTTCTCATGAGAGACAGTCCAGTAGAGGAGTAAAGTCTGTGTTCTGCCGTATTGAGTCATTTCGAGTTAATTCCTTGTCTCCCGTTTCGAGTTGAATATTTATACAAACTGTGAGTAAAGCAGGAGGCGGGACTTAGACGCAGGTTCGGGTAGCGTGGAGCGTACTCACTTCAAAACAGCAATAGAAAATGAAAGGGCAGGGTGAGCAGATAATCAATAACTGTGTTAACAAAGATGGAGAACAGATAGATGAGCAGAGAAAATATCTTATTTTGAAACATTGGAGGTGAAGTAACATTTCAGGGGCAAATAAGAAGGGGGCGTTCCCATTTTGGAGGGGGCGTTACCGTGTACAAACCAAAACGCCCCTTTTAGCGGCTGGCCGGATGATATTGAATGGACTGGCCAGCTCAAATTCACGCCTACCACCAGGGGGAGCCGCTGATTGGAAAATTCCTCAAACATATTTTATCCTATATGAAGGGGATTTGTCAGTGTGGATATCGGAGGTGTGGCGTGAGAGCGTGTGTAGAGGGTCAGACTGCTGTGAAACCAGGGGATCTCTAAGTCAGTGGAAGCCTGAATCTGCGGTCTACGGGTCTGCAGCGCAGCCTTCTCAGCTGACACGGGGGTGACTGGGGTGACTTGCTCTTTAGTGACTGAACCCTGAATCGGCTCATCCTAGCAGACAGGAAAACATCAAGAGTAAGCCTGCTGAAATCAGAGTGGGGTTTAGCACAAGCAACTTAATAAACACGTTTTGCATCAACTATAAAAATATAATTAAAAAAGAAAAAAACATGATAGGTGGATGAACCTAAACTGGGATGGTTCTGTTCGATCCGTTGCGTTCCATTTTAACTGGATCGCGAAACTCCAGTTAGACCCAACAGAACCACGTTTCGGGCTGCACAGCGGCACCGTGGTTAGAGCTGTTGTCTTGCAGCAAGGCGGTCCTGGGTTCGCTAACAGGTCTGGGATCTTTCTGCATGGAGTTTGCATGTTCTCCCTGTGCATGCGTGGGTTCTCTACGGGTACTCCGGCTTCCTCCCGCAGTCCAAAAACATGACTGTTAGGTTGACTAGTCTGTCTAAATTGCCCTTAGGTGTGGGTGGGTGTGTGTGTGTGCACCAGCCCCTCCGCGACCCTACATGGACAAGCGGGTTCAGACAATGGATGGATGGAGAACCACGTTTCCACTCACCGTGGCGTTAGAGGACCCGGGTGCCGACACTTCTTCCGGACTGGAAGAGGACTTATGAGGCATCTCGAACTGGGATACGTTGTAATCACGGCACCTCTGGAGGAAGTCCATGTAGTACACCCGGGCAGCCTGGACTGCCTCTAGCCGTTTCTCCCGGCTGGTCCTCTTCATGTGGAGGGCTCCTAACAAGGCGGGAAGCAGCAGGTACTTCAGGTCTGCCGTAGCGACCTCCTCCAAGTCCTCATTCCGGCTGAACAGGGCTAGCTGAGCGACCATCCTGGACGCGTCCTCCAGCATCCGAATCCCGCTTCTTACGCTTTCTTGGACGCTGGTGGAGGCGACGGGCTCGTTGGTTCTGTCCACCTCCTCAAATATTTTCCAACCGCTCTCCAGTAAGTCCGACAGCTTCAGAACATCCAAGTCTACTGGTGGCCCCGAGCCTGGACGGGCATCGCTGTCCGCCATCTTGTTCGTGTTTACTTCTGCTGCTGCGTCACCGCCTCCGTTCTTCTTCTTCTTTTTTTTTTTTAAAGGTGGATCCAGTTTTTAAATTGTAATTTTGTGCACTTTTGCCCCCTGTAGTATGGTTGAAATATTAATTTAATCTTTATTCAAAATTCTGTTTTATACAATAATAAATGGTCCTTTTGAAAAAAAAAATTCTTGAGTGATTTTGTAATTTTTGATGTACATCTGAAATTGAGTTTTTTTAAATGTACGAGTGTAAATAAAACATGCTCTGCTGTCTCATCTTAGTTATCACTGTCTGTGATTGATACTTGTTTTGGTTAAAGTCTTTTCTGCTCACCAGTTTCTTTAGGTTTTATTTGAATATAATTTAATTTTTACACCCTTTGACCTTTCCTTTTATGATGTGAACACAAACATAAACAACAATTAGCTACATTCAAAGGGACAGCTGGGGAGAGAATCATGATCATAAATGATAAAGAACGGCAGAGTCATAAAACTATAAATGTTAGCCATCATGATGGTGACCTTGGTTGTCGTGGTTCAACTCCACCAGCAGATGTCGCTATAACTGAAAAGCATAGTTGCTTCATGAAGCCTTACTAGCATACCGACATGAGTAACTGACGTTCACTTGCTCCAGCACGCTTAACTGGAAGAGTTCAACCCTGGACACTGTATATAAATAAACTATAAAAAGCGTATATATGATATATTTGTTCCGTCGGACACAATACAATAGCCAACCCTCTCGCGAAAGGGTCACGTGGTAAAAGACGTGTGCGGAAGTGGAGTAGATGGCGCAGGGGCAGAATGACGAGCCCAGAGTTATCCTTTACTTTAGCGTATGTTACGTTCGCGATCTGCATCATTTTCACCCCCGACGAGTTTCGGTCCGCCGGGCTGACCGTCCAGAATGTCTTCTCGTCCTGGCTGGGCAGCGAGGACGTGGACTTCCTCCGTTACCACCTGAGAAGGATCAGCGTCACCATCCTGGTCCAGTCCGCGCTGCCTCTAGGTCAGGTAACCCCCTGGTGCAGCGGCTCAGGTGTGAGCTGAGGAGAGCGGGTTGTTCTGGACGTCTGTGCTGGGCTCATGTTGTGTGTCTTCTGAAGGTTACTACTTGGGGATGTGCGTCGCTGCTCCCGAGAAACACCTCAGCTCCTTCTACCAGGTCGGTCCTCATGTTCTCCAGACCTGAAGATCTTTAGTTGTTAACTGGTGTTTGAGTTCAAATGCTGATCTGGTAGCAGCACCACATAGGAGTGAATTCTTCAGGATTATCAAGGCACCATTAGTTGTTTTCTTGAGCCATCACTCCAACCGCCTCCCCCCTTGTGTGAAGCAGCTACAGACCCCGGAGGCGTAATTTGCATTTGAGCCTGAATCCGCAGACTCCGGGTCTGATATCCAAGGAAGATCCTGCTTTTCTCACCTCTGATTGGCTAGAAGGCAGGGAAGGTTCTAGACTAACCTTAGTTGGGGGGGCCAGGCTGGAGCCCGCTGCTCATTTAGAAGCACATTAATAAGAAGACACCATGTTGCTGTCATTAAACACTAAAAATTGTAATTAAAGTCCATATTTGTAATAACAGCAATTTAGTTACAGTTGTTTTAGATTTTCTACATAGAACTATTTTACAAAAACACTTTGGAATCCGCCTCAGTGACAACATGAAAATCTCAGCATCCCTCATCAGCTTCCAATAACTTCAAGCTTTGGTTCCTCATCTTGCATTAAGCTAAATTATCAAAATGATTTAATAAATAAATAAAATAAATATCAACTCATTAATGCTTATAATATGCTCTCAACAGGGGTGGCACAGGGGGGGTCCAAGCTTGCTGTAGGGGTGGCACTGACCCACACTTGAAACCCCATAGAACCGCCCCTGCTAGACGGGCTCTGCTTTGATTGGCTATTTCGTTTAGCAGGAAACCGTCTTCCTTCGCTAAGGGCCATGAGATACTTGCTGTTTAATCACGAGAAAGCATGTTTTAAAATGGCTGCCACACTTTATTTGCGTTGATTTGAAGCATCGTTTGTGCACGTCCCCCAAAATTAATGCGACACATCCAAACGCTGCAATATACGAGTAACCAGTAGGTGGAGTTGACAAAACAAGCAAGACAGACTTGCCATGGTGTCTCCGTCTCTGGTTCTGAGGTCTTGCACACCATCTACGGTACTGCTGCAGTTTTTTTGGTCTTTTTCTGTCGTGATCTCAAAATTAACCAGTTAGTGAGCTCTTTTACTGACACCATGCTCATTTTGGTTGTGCCCACAAACCCGGCTCTCTATCCAGTCTGAGTTCTCTAGTGTGCCCCTAGTGGAACACTCCGGTACTACATGCAACGCAGTGCCACGTAGCAGCAGGTGTGTGAACAAAGACGCAGCCTGCACCAACGCCAGGTTAAACAGCCAGGCCTAGTGCAGACTGTCCTCCTGCCACCAACACAACAGCTGTTTGGGGGAGTTTTGTAAAGAAAATGCGAACATGGCACTATAAAAACCATTCTGTCCTGTTTTGCTAAAATAGTTTTTCCATTTCTTTTACTTAAAAACTCTGAAAAACATTAAATGTGAACTTGTCATCAATCTTATTGCATTTATCACACTTTTGGACTTACTTTATAATGACTCAAGCATTGAGGTTATCTTGTTAAAGCAGAGTACAGTGATCCCTCGCTACTTCGCGGTTCGTTCATCGCGGATTTTTTCTTTGGAGCCTTATTCAAGGGAAATTCGCTGATTCGCATTATTTTTCTATGCGAAATATCAAGAAATTCCTGTTCTTTTTCATCAATTTCTTCATAAAATGCACTTTTTGTAATAAAACTATAAAAAAAACAAGTTAAAAAAAATTTTTTTCTTGAGTTTTACCCACCAAAAGAGAATGTGATCATACGATAATTCAATATAGTACTGTACTGTAAATATGGTGTCCCTACTTCGCGGATTTTCACCTATCGCTGCCAGGTCTGGAACGCATCTACCACGATAAACGAGGGATCACTGTACATAGGATAAACCGTGTGTGTGTGTGTGTGTGTGTGTGTGTGTGTGTGTGTGTGTGTGTGTGTGTGTGTGTGTGTGTGTGTGTGAAATAAATTAAAACTGCCCTGTTTTGCGCAGCTGTGTGCAGCAGGTCTGTTTCACTTCCAGAATGATGAAAACTGGTGAAAAATAAGTAAATCATTATCAGCCTTGAATTAAATTTCGATTAAATTTAGTCAAACACAATCAGACGACGGGAGACGTGCGGTAACATGCAAACGCCCTTAAGCTATTTCAGTGAAGACCTAAGATAGCCTTTAGTAATAGTAACCACAACAGATACATTTATCTCATTTCACCAGGTGAGTCACAGCTGGAGAGCTTTTCTGCTTTTCGCGGTGTGCTTGCATCTGGCCAGCTGTGCTGTGGTCATCTACTGGTCCTGCTGCCAGTGGCACGGCCATCCCATCAGACGGGCCCTGCAGGCTCATGTGAGGCCTCCTCACTCCAGATGGGGCTCTGTGGCTTCCAGCATCAACACGGAGTTTAGAAGAATAGACAAGTTTGCAGCAGGAGCTCCTGGAGCCAGAGTCATCGTCACAGACAGCTGGGTGATGAAGGTGAGGGTCAAAGGTCAATTTCGTCACGTTAAACAAGGTCGACTCACCTGGGTGAGAGAAAGCTACTAAAACAGGATCTGGACCCTGTCAGCTGCTGGGTTCCTGTGTGGGAGGATAAAGTCTTAGGAGACACCAACATGACCTAACAGCTCTCCCTCTCTGCAGCTTTCTGCTCTGATGCTGCAGGTTAGAGACAATCAGACCTTTAAGAGTGCACGAGAGACAGAAAGACAGACCGGTAGCCGTTGTCACGGGGACTGAGATACATTACTTGTTACTAGCAGAACTTTCTGAGGTTACATGATGGCCCGCTTCATTTTAGCTGTTTGGTGTAAACAGAGGAGCTGCTGCATGTTTATAGGACATAACAGACACTTCCCTTCAGGGCAGAGGAAACCCTAAAGGACCCAGCAGAACCCAGTAGGACTCAGCAGGACATAGAAGAACCCAGTAGGACCCAGCAGAACCCAGTAAGACTCAGCAGGACACAACAGGGCCCAGTAGGACCCAGCAGGACCCAGTAAGACTCAGCAGGACACAACAGGGCCCAGTAGGACCCAGCAGGACCCAGTAAGACTCAGCAGGACACAACAGGGCCCAGTAGGACCCAGCAGGACCCAGTAAGACTCAGCAGGACACAACAGGGCCCAGTAGGACCCAGCAGGACCCAGTAAGACTCAGCAGGACACAACAGGGCCCAGTAGGACCCAGCAGGACCCAGTAAGACTCAGCAGGACACAACAGGGCCCAGTAGGACCCAGCAGAACCCAGTAAGACTCAGCAGGACACAACAGGGCCCAGTAGGACCCAGCAGAACCCAGTAAGACTCAGCAGGACACAACAGGGCCCAGTAGGACCCAGCAGAACCCAGTAGGACTCAGGAGGACATAGAAGAACCCAGTAGGACCTAGCAGGACACAACAGGGCCCAGTAGGACCCAGCAGAACCCAGTAAGACTCAGCAGGACACAACAGGGCCCAGTAGGACCCAGCAGAACCCAGTAAGACTCAGCAGGACACAACAGGGCCCAGTAGGACCCAGCAGAACCCAGTAAGACTCAGCAGGACACAACAGGGCCCAGTAGGACCCAGCAGAACCCAGTAGGACTCAGGAGGACATAGAAGAACCCAGTAGGACCCAGCAGAACCCAGTAGGACTCAGGAGGACATAGAAGAACCCAGTAGGACCTAGCAGGACACAACAGGGCCCAGTAGAACCCAGCAGAACCCAGTAGGACTCAGGAGGACACAACAGGGCCCGGTAGCTGTGACACGATGCATTTTTATCAGGATGGTTTGGTGTAAACAGTCATCATTGATTCCAGACTCTGATCCACCTCCAGGTGACCACCTACCACATCCACGTGGCCTTACAGAGGGACTGTCATGTGACCGTGACACATTCTAGACAGCACCAGCTGAGTCCAGAGTCCACCTCCCCCATCGAGATCCTAAACCTGAGGGTGGAGAGCATCAACCCATCAGTCAGACCGTTCGACATCAGGTGTGTCTCCCAGGTGTAAATAATAAATCAGTCTTCTAAACTGTTTAGTCATCTAAATCCTCCGATCTGTCCTGATCAGTAGCAGCAGAGGTCATTCCAGGACAGCTGTTACGATCAGTTCAGTCGCTTCATCTACAGTAAACAAGTTAACAGGACAAACATTTTAAAGGTGTTTAAGGCGTCACATCCCTGCATCTCTAATCTGATCAAATGTCTGATTCCCGCTCGCTGCCTCTGGCATCAAACTGAGCTACGGATCATCTTGGAATGATCTAAAGCAGTTTGACTCCTGCTGGATGGCTGGAGGAGCTAATGAAACCATCTCCTCTCAGCCTGAACTCCACAGACTATGCAGAACTCAGGGCGAAGCTCCGAGCTCCTATCAGAACATCTCCCAACGTGGTGATCCACCAAACGATCAGCGAGCTCTTCCTGGAAACCTTCAGAGCTCAGGTGGAGCTGAACCAGCGCTACACACTCCCTAGTGGACAGGTAAACCCAGCAGTGAAAACTCCCAACAGCTATTCACGTCTGAGACCCGTGTGTGTGTGTGTGTGTGTGTGTGTGTGTGTGTGTGTGTGTGTGTGTGTGTGTGTGTGTGTGTGTGTGTGTGTGTGTGTGTGTGTGTGTGTGTGTGTGTGTGTGTGTGTGTGTGTGTGTGTGTGTGTGTGTGTGTGTGTGTGTGTGTGTGTGTGTGTGTGTGTGTGTGTGTGTGTGTTCCTACAGGAAGTGGAGACCTGTATAGGCTGCATGCAGGCCCCTGCGAACACCAAGCTGGTCAGACTGTGTGAGGCTACAGGTAAGAATGTGCGCGTGTGTGTGTGTGTGTGTGTGTGTGAGCATTTGTGCATGTGTGTGTCCTCATCATGACTACCTGTGTGTGCCTCACAGGGGTGGATGATGACTCCGAGTGCCAGCAGTGCCTCTGCAGACCCACGTGGTGTCTGATGTGTTTGGGTCGATGGTTCGCCAGCCGCCAAGACCAACAGCAACCGGAGACCTGGTTGTCCAGCAGAGTGCCCTGTCCCACCTGTAGATCTAAATTCTGCATACTGGACGTGTGTGTGGTCCGGTGACTGAACTGAGATACCAATCAGAACGTTACCTCGTCGAGAGAAACAGCAAGTGGGTCTCTGACTGACTTGGTGATCGTCTATGCAACAGGAAACTGTCTTGATGGCATTATTTCATCCATGACATCACCAGTCATCCACATGACCAAGTTTATACCAGAGCGTTTGCATAACCCACTTGAACAGAACTTCTGTGCTTTTAAATACTAAAATGACAAAGATGGGAGCTAGAATCCGAACCAAACTGGTTTGTAATCAGATTTCCATCTTTCATCATATATGTTCAGTTTTCCAAGTATCCCATCGTGACAGTGTGAGCGTCCTGTCACAGTGTCCCGATTGATCACGCGCCCTGGCTACACGGCCATGGGGACGTCCCTTTGGCTGACTGGTTAGCGCGCGTGACTCACCTGGGAGTCTGGGGATCGAATCCCGCCCGGGCCCTCGTTTCTCCACATTGCCACATCATGGTAAACAGAGTGACATAAATAAAGCTCGGATTTGTTTTGGTCTGTAATGTCTTTTTTTATTGATGCAAGTCATTAAATGTAATGTAGTTAATAACACCACCTAAATAAACCACCAGTTAGAGTATAATAACATTGGAAAATAAATGATGACTACAAACAGAAACGTGCTGTGGAGATGAGTAATATCCAACAGGTTTAGGCCCCGCCCCCTCAGTAACAGCAGGATAAACGAACCAGTGCTGCTGTTGAGTCCAGTTTATTAAGAACATAGCTGAATCACAAACCGCTGATATGTTTGACATTTGTTAGGAAATAATGGCTAAACGCATCAATCAGGCTCCTCCCTTTTCACGTGTTCTGCTGTTCAGTGTTCTCTTCCTTCTATCTGCTGGTGGTTCCTCCATCAACATCGCCGTAAGCTTCATTCCTGAAACACAACAAGAAAGTGATCTCAGCCCAGGGTCGTTCATGCTTCAGGAGTCTGCACCCCACCTCCCACAATGCAGCTCTCTCACAGTGACTTTCATTTAAACTGGGAGAAACAAAATGATAAAAGCTTCACAAGATGTGTTGCGTTACTGTTTCCGCATCTTGATAAAAGCCAACACACAATAGAACTGGCCATGTGTGCTACAGAGGAATTAAAGGGGAACTAGGCAGTTCTGGCTAACTTTTAGCACCCCCTTGTGTCTGTTTGTAGAACCGAAAGCAAAACTGATCTCCTCGCTGTGCGTTCAACACCTTAATCTAACTTCTGAAATGTCTTCATTAGTGTCTGGGAGTGATTCATCACTAAATTAAACAAATCAGCTGTGTTCATGATTTAAAACATGCTGGAAGCAGACTGCAGCGCCAGGTATGTCAACTCAGTGCATTTACATGTGCATCTAAGTCAGTCAGCGCACATGGCTCACCCGGGAGTCAGGGGATCGAATCCCGCCCGGGCCCTCGTTTATCCACCTTGCCACATTTGGCGTTGTTGGTAGGATCCATGTAGTACTGTCAAGTAGGTCCATGGATGTGAAGTTTGTGGCATCTTGCGCAGGAGCACAGGCATGTGCTTGTGGACAGAGGGGGGAAGATGTGGCAGTGTGCGCGTCCTGTCACTGTGTCCCACTTGATCATGTTCCCTGGCTACTTGGCCAAGGGGATGTCCCTTTGGCTGACTGGTGAGCATGCATGACTCACCCGGGAGTTGGGGATCGAATCCCGCCTGGGCCCTCGTTTCTCCACCTTGAATCAATAGTTCAGGTTGGTGGTGGTGGTGGTGGTGTGATGATGTGGGGGGCATTTCCTTAGCACACTTTGGGCCCCGTAGTACTAATTGATCCTCGTTGCAACGCCACAGCGTACCTGAGTATTGTTGCTGACCATGTCCATCCCTTTAAGACCACAGTGTATACATCTTCTGATGGCTACCTCCAGCAGGATAATGCCCCATGTCGTAAAGCTCTAATCATCTCAGACTGGTTTCATGAACATGACAATGAGCTCACTGTACTCAGATGACCTCCACAGTCACCAGATCTCAATCCAATAGAGCACCTTTGGGATGTGGTGGAACGGGAGATTCTCATCATGGATGTGCAGCCGACACATCTGCAGCAACTGTGTGATGCTGTCATGTCAATATGGACCAACATCTCTGAGGAATGTTTCCAGTAGCTTGTTGAAGGATTGAGGCAGTTCTAGAGGCAAAATGGGGTCCAACCCGGTACTAGCAGTAAAGTGGCCGGTGAGTGTAAGTCACTGTGATGGTACTACATGATTTCATTAGCTAAAATATCTAGACAGACCGTAGCAGAATCAAAAGGATTTTGCTCTGCATGACGATCTAGCTGCGCTCCGTTGAAACCTCAGCAGGCCTGACCAGTCTAGTGGTTTACCAATCACAGCGCTCTCTCAGTTTGGTGGGTGGGATGTTACTGTGACAGCAGAGCTAAGATGGCAGTGGCTCGTTTGAGCAGATAGAGGTACTTAAGTCCTTAATGTAGAAAAAGGATGTGTGTCTTGTTCGACAGTGAATGGTGGACTGCCCCGTTGACTGACATCTGTAGCGGTGAGGAGGTCACGTTGCTGTCCAGTAGCATGCAGAGACAGTTTTGAAGACCAGCGTAGATTCTGCCCAAAGACAGGGATCGTCTGCGTTGTACCCAAACTATAAATTCTCATACATAGGATGGCTTGCCAGGCCACTGTTTTCAACTCAGTTACACTAAGCAAGTGCTTCTCAATTAAGTGGGGCGGGGCAGGGTTGGGGTGTCCATTGTTATTAACACTGGCCACCAGGTGGCAACAGTGCTCAGATTAACAGGCTGTCTGTTGTCCCAGCAGAAGAAGAAGCCTAAACACACCAGTGCACAGAGCTGACGGAGGATACGGTGGAGCATCTGATGGCAGTCGGCAGAAAAAGACAAGAAAATAAGACAAAGCATGAGGGATAAATGGTAAATACCCTCTAGAAGCACTGACAGAACCCATAAACATGAGGATGAAATAGACTACAATAACATTTGAGCCCAGTGTGGACTGGAGGCTTCACAGTAGGAAGTGGGAGGTTCCACCAAGAATGGTGGAGAATGATGGAGCTGAGAGCCTGTGGGACTTCTATACTAACCAACAGGTGATGGAAAGTCATTGTGGAGGTCGATAAAACTGCAGAACAAATCAGTAGTGACATGTAGAGATCCATAGTGAACATATGGGACTTGGTAGGTGAGAAACACCAGGGGCTGATGGGGAATCCAGAAGGCGTGGAAAGTCAAGGTCTCAGTACCCATAGTCATTGTAGCACTCGGGCTGTGGCCACAAACTCGGAGAGGTCCTACAGATCCTAGTATAATCTGTCCTAAAGAGAGCAGCTGAGGTAATGAGAGGAAGCATCAAGCTCCCAGTCCTCTGGTAGAGGACCTGGGAGGACTTGGGTTTGAAGTAAAAGTAGACCTACCTATCTGGAAAAAACCAATAAAGACTGTAAAGGGTGGTCTTCTAAGTTTTAAGGGCACTGAAAACTGCCCTGTGACGCAAAGTCAGCAAGACACTGACCTACTTATTCAGACATGTTTGAAATCTCCACTAGAAACAAAAATTCCTTTTGCGTGGATGAATGAAAAACACACAAGAACACAGATGATGTTATTTAGTTCTGTGAAGTTGCTCAAAAGATAGATTTTCCCGCAAATGCTGAGTAAATAACACACACACACACACACACACACACACACACACACACACACACACACACACACACACACACACACACACACACACACACACACACACACACACACATCCAAGCCCTTCCACCAGCTGCTGCTGTCTGACAAATTGGAGATGTTTTTTTTTCCTCTTCATATAAATTTCTGCTGCAGCAGATGGCCTGGAGCGGAGCAGTGGGGGACGATGTTAGCGCAACTGCAGGGGAATGTTCCAAAGTGCACATGTGCAGTGAGCGCGCGTGTGTGTGTGCGTGCGCTCATGAAGTCTGAGACACCAGATGTTTAAAGCGGAGGGGAAGTGGAGCTGGCGCCACCAAGGGCAGAGGGCAGTGAGAAGGCACGCGAGCTGAAACCACACACACACACACACACACACACACACACACACACACACACACACACACACACAAGCAGGCAGCCACCATCAAAAAAACTCAGCTAGTTTACTTCTAAAGTTTCTGCTGCCCGCCGTTAAACAGCTTTTATCTGAAACTGTGGCTCTCTCTGAGTTCTGGTTGTTGCAGAAAACGTCCGGAATCCAGTTCTTTATAACAGCTTTCTTGTTTGTTCATTTATCACATTTTTTTTAATCTAAGTTAACCAAAGATGCATGATTTTGCTCTGAGGGAAGAAACCAGAGTACCCGGAGAAAGCACACTCATGCACGAGGAGAACATCCTAACTCCTTGCAGAAATTCTGCAACCAGGATTCAAACCTGCAACCTTCTTACCGTGAGGCTCCTGACACCCACCCCTTTTTTAGGGGAGAACGCTTTTCAGCACCCAGCAAAGGCCACAGGCATGGACATAGTTTTTGGGAGGACAGGGGGGACATTTCAAAATCAGTTTTTGTCCCCTGCACTTCTAACCGTCCAAAACCAACATGACGTTGTATTAAACAGCCACCGGCTGAGCACTAGGACCAAGCGGAAAACAACCGCTTGTGTTGAAGCCTGTTTCCAATTACATATGTTGTGTGTACTTACTGTAAAGACGACCCCCCACCCAGTGGTGTCCCCCCCTCTTCTAAAGTCTAATCCATGGCCACAGGTGTGAATGATTACATGGATCAGGGCAACTATTGAAACTCATTATTCACACTCAGATAAAGAACTTGGAGTCTCTCAGCCTTCTACCACATCAGGTTCTGGTCAACTGGACTTTGTCTGCTGCTCAGATGTAAGTTGTTTTTTATTTTCTTTTATTCTGAGCAGTCTGGTGTTCAGACCTCACAGCTAAGAACTGCTCTCCTGACAGCACAGTGAGAATGTACTTCCTGTTGGGCTACAGGAAGTCCCAAACCAAAGGAGGACACAGATTAAAACCTGAGTGTAAGGAGGGGGGGGGGGGGGGGGTCAACAAAGGTCAACACCTATAGGCCCGAACTTGGATCAGCCTGGTCAGCAGATATGTCTCTCCCCTTTGGACAATCACATCTGCAGACATGTCCACTTCTCCAACTCGACGTTTGCTGTATGACGACTCACCTTCCTCTTCTTGCTCCTGCCCTCGGCCTGCAGGGTCCTAGTGCACTGCTCCACGCACTGGGAGAAGCTCACGATGCTGCGGTCTGAGCTGTAGTCCAGCTCCGCCAGCTGGGCCAGAGACAGGATGTAGTTGCAGGCAATCCGTAGTATCGCTAGCTTGGAAAGCTTCTGTCCATAGGAGTAACACGGCACCTACAGGAAACCAGAGCAGAGGCAAACTCTAGTTCACTCGAGCTGGCTTCACGTGCACACACAGCTCTGTAGGGAAGGTTTAGGGCAGACTCGGGTCTACAAAGTCACGTGAAACCGGTCCATGATGGGTTCACGGGTAAAAGCAGTGAAACATGTTTTTACATCAGGAGGAAAACCAGAAATGTCCCTCTCCAAGTCTCTTCTTGGACACGAAGACTGTCCTGCTGATGTTTCTGAGTTTTTAAAAAGTTTGTAAAAAACAGAAACGCTGCCTCACCTAAAACTGATGACAGTAAACCGAGTAACCGGAGATGAACGTAAAAACATTTCTGTAAATCCCGTCAAAACCAGTAAGCGGCTTTTGCATCGCTGCTGTTCCTGTTGCTATTCTGCTCTCGTCCACATCTCAGCTGCAGTTTAACTTTCAGGTTCTCACGCCCCGTAAATGTCCCGCTAGTCGTTTTACACAGTATTTTATTTTCTAAAGTGCATTAGTGCATCTGTGTTTTTGTTCACTTTACTGTTATTCTTTATTTTTTATTCTTTACTTCTGCTGTGAATCTGCTTTGCTGCAATGAAAACCAAAATTTCCCCACTGAGGCATGTCCTGTTCTATTCTATTCTATTCTATTCTATTCTATTCTATTCTATTCTATTCTATTCTATAGCCAGACTGTGGGCTCGTGTGATTTGTGGACACATTGAACTTCTTTTTTAACAACTTATGACCGTTTTGTAGTCATGGAACGAAATCCCTCTCACATAAAAGGATCTCAGCAGTTCTATCCTGACATTTTCAGTACCGTCCAGAATGAGTTGTTTCAGGGCTCTGTCCCTTTAAGAAAACAAACATTTACTGACCACACCTACCCACCCCCTGACTGGCTGCTATGAGGTGAGGAGCTCCTACATCCAGAAAGGACTGAGAGCCGAGCTGCTGCTCCTCCAGTCTTGACAGGTGTGTGCGTGCGTGTGTGTGTGTGTGTGTGTGCTAATTTCTTTTTTAAACGTTTATTTCAGTCACATAATTCCTCAAACCAAACACTGACAGAAGATCGATGATGAAAGTCTGTAGAGGCAGTAGAGACCCACATGGCAGCACAAAAGGATGCAATAGAGTTTTGCATAATATGTCTTCTAAAACTACTTCACTGATGAATGTTATCCGACTGATGATTAGCTCTGTTTGGAAGTTGAAGTGATTCAAGTCAGTTCTGGTGTCGACTGAGGTTCTGACCTGCTTCCTCAGGGCCTCAAACGCAGCACTAATGGTGTGGACTCGTGTCCTCTCCCTGGCGTTGGCTAGAAGCCTCCTGGTCTGCTGGATGGCTTTGACCTCTGGAATATGACCCCGTGCATGAGGCCCTATCCCAACCCGCTTCCTGGGAGAGTCCTGTGAACAGAAAATCATCAACAATTAACCTCAGTACTTATTATAGGTGCTACTGCCTAAAGAGAGCTTTATACTGAGATCTTTAATTAACATCTAAAACAAGAGATGTGGATGAAAACCAGGCAGTTTGTTTCAGTCAGACAACCACCATCTCCTTCTTAGCTTAGCTAGTGAACCCAACAGGACCCTGTTGTCTCCAGCTTTTAAGCTACTTTACGTGGACCTTAAACCAGTTCTGACTCCAGTTCTGAGGTAAGGAACCGACAACCCATCAGCATTAGACTCACTTCAACATCAACCTACCAGAACAAATAAAGTCCATTTACCATTTTTTATACTTTAAGCTATTGCTTTCAAACTGGTTTCAGTGGTTCTTCCGCCATAAACCTGCGCAGCGTTATGTCGTACATCACTCTGAATATCTCTAAAACCACAGTGAACATTGGCGCGCCCTACTCTAGTTGGAGGGAGCTATAGGAGGTTACAAAACCACAAACTGATGGTGGCCTGGCTTTGTTGCTACTGGACTTGTCAGTCAGGATGTAAGAAAATATCGATATGGCAACATATCGTGATACTTTTTCCTGCAATATTATGTCGATATTCGAAAGCCGTGTATCTAATTTTTGGAAGAATTTACATGCAAACATTTATGTATTTTTTTTTCTTTTGGTGCAATTCAAACACCGACCGCTAGTTGACAGCAGTGTGCCACGGGTTTTGTTTCCACCACTGAAATGTAAATCCCTCTATTATGGTTCAGATACCTCATGTTAATTTGGACTGTTTATTGAATTTTCCTCCAATAAATGTATTTAATAACATAACAATAAATATCGTCTGGCTGAATGTCGCAATATATCGTATTGTCTCCCCTGTTACGTGATACGTATCGTATCGCCAGAATTTCACCAGTGCGCATCCCTACTTGTCAGTAATAATATCCATGTCCAACAGTGTGGATCATTTTACTTTGTAGCTTATTTAGTATCAGTTGGCTTGTTTTAGCGTTGGCTCATTGCTAGCGCTAGCTAAAGCAGGCTGTGGCAGGGTCGTTCGCGATAAATGTTAGTCCACTTTCAACCAGTAGGGGTGAAAAACGGTGATGTCGCTTTAAAACAGAACCAGCAGGTCATTTTCATCTCATCCATCAAACCCATAAATCACTTGAAGCATATTCACCTTGGGGGAAGAATCCTGGGAGTCCATGTGGTCCAGACTCTGGGAGGACTGGTGGGTGTCCATGTGGTCCAGACTCTGGGAGGACTGGTAGGATCTAGGAACAGGTTGGCCAAGGAGAGAGGGTTCTAGAAGGAACTCATGACCACCAGGAGAATGTGGTCCACTGGGTGGTGTTGGCAGGTGGAGGCTAGAGTGGATTCCCAGTTTGGACAAGGATTGGGACATTGAGGACGGCCAGTGAGATATCTCATGCAGAGACAGTGAGGAGGCTGTAGACTGTGACATTTTGGAGGACATAGCAGTCACATTGAGTCCAATTCTCATGTCTATTGCACTACCATGACCCAGTGTCATGTTGTCTTCTGGTGTCTCTGAATGAGCTTTTCTATTGGTCATCATCCCCTGTGACATCACCAGTTGTCCCTGGTGAGGAACCAATGGGCTGACAATACTGTCTTCTGCTGTGTGCCCATTAGACATGTCCACAGGAAAGTCTTTTGATCCTGCATCCTCAGAAATAATGAAAAGTCTTTTAGGCTCTCGGGACTTCCTCTTGAACTTCTTGGTTCCTGGCGCTGTGACCAGCACTGGTTCTTTGTTCATGGTACAATTCCAGGGGCCGCTGATCTCGTGAGGCTTTTTCATCTCGTGGCAGGATGATAATTTTAAACAACACAAACCTAATCAGCCACCCAGATAAAGTTCTTCAGGCTGCACAAGATGTCAGGGACTCACTGTGAAGACCCAACAGGACCACAGAGGTTCCTCTGAGTCTGACAGGCAGCTTCATGAACAGTGCATGGGTTTAGCCAACAACAGGAGGGGAAGTGTGTGTGCACACACACACACATTAGCTGTTGATGGTCCCACTCAGCTGCAGGACAGGATGTGCCCGGTCATGTGCTGCTTTAGTTTACCAGCAGGTTTTCTGTGGCTCCAGTCTGTCTGAGTCGCCTTCTGGAAAAGCCAAATCAGAGCTGAGCTCAGAAACAAGAACAGCTCTAGAGGACTGGTTCTGCTGGACTGAACGGTTCCAAGATCAGTTCTTCTGTTCTGAAGGTGTGTGTGTGTGTGTGTGTGTGTGTGTGCAGCCTGGCGCTGGCCTCAGAGGGAGCTCACAGTGAAGCTGTCTGAGTCTGGCTCCAGTCTGTCTGCATAGCAACACTCTGAATAACCCCCCCACCACACACACACACACACGCACACACACACTGAGCAGCTGCTGAACAGAAGAGCAGCTTGCCAGCAGAACAGAAACTTTTACAGCACAACTTTCCTAACAAACTCTGACCCTCTTCAATCCACACAAAACTGCTGTGCTACCAACTTCACAATCAGCCAGAACCTTCTGAATGTTCTAGATTAGGCATCACCATGGAAACATGCTGTACTGTGTCCACATGGGCAAATGTCCTCTCTTCCAAAGGGCAACCAGTGAGATTTAAAATCCGCCAAGTTGATTGAAGAGACAGTGTGTCCAATTTATGTCACAAAGTCCAGTTTGTGTGTCCCCGGAACCTTTCCATTCATGAAAGAAGTTCTAGAGTCCTTCTTGAAGAAAACTGCTGCAAAGTCCTGCCCCAAAGTGTTCATAGAGGTGTAGAAATCAGCCTCCAGCGGTGTGTTCATTCATCCACCAGGTTCTGGGTTCCCCCTCAAACCAGGAGCAGCAGGATCTGCAACAGCTCTGGATCCAGATCACAGCTGAGTGGTTGGAAAGCAGAGCGTACACTCCTCCTCATCCTACTGGCGTCTGCTGGGCTGAGCTCTCTCTGCCTCTCCCTGCTCAGAGAGAGAGAGAGACTACAAAGTCTGTTTAGAGCAGGCTGTTGTGAGCCGTCTCTGGACAGTCTGGTGTTTTGTGTCTCTTATTGGTTCAGCTTTGACAACACAGAACTATATAAAATATGGTTCAGGACTGGAATGCGCTAGGACCGGGCCAGAACCTCACCAGGACCACGATCTTTTCAGGAGGAGTTCGGTTTGCTGAACCATTCAGAGATAAAAGCTTCTGAACAGCAGGACTGCTTCTGTCTGCACCTTGAGAACTTTGTGTGTGTGTGTGCGTGCGTGCGTGCGTGCGTGCGTGTGTGTGTGTGTGTGTGTGTGTGTGTGTGTGATGATTACTCAACAGGATCCCCCTGCTGCCCGATAGCTCCACAGAGTTTGGTTTGCAGCCTGAAGGACTGCACGCTCTGGTTTGCAGCCTGAAGGACTGCACGCTCACTCGAGGTCAGGTCCAGTCTTGAACCGCTGCTTTCTGGTCTCATGTAAAGGTTTGTGCGTGGTCCAGCCTGGCAGGCCTCGGTAGGTCGTTTGAGTTGTGCTGTGTATGGTGCAGTGAGATCATCAGCCCTAACCTAGTAGAGGGTGGGGGTGTCATGTCCCTGGGCAGAGGTGAGTCACACCATCTCCTCTCACCAGAATCTGAGCTTATTCTCCGCAGGTGGGGAGCAGAGGGAACAACAGCTGCAGGCGATTCCCTAATCAGGAACGCGGGTTTAAAAGGAGGACGGAGACACTTCACTTTGCCAGATGATTGGACCAGTTCTGGTAGCACCAGCCACTCGACTCTGAAACTTTGATTGTTGCTAACTCGTGTTTGACTCGCCTTCGACTTGTGGATTATTGACCTTGGATAGTATTTTTGGATTTGGAGTTGGATTATCCCTTACGCCTGTTTTGTCTCGCTCAGGATCACCTCGTCATCTTCTCACCCTCGGCTGTCTTCGTTTCTGGAATTAATCAATACGTCCCGTCCTCCTCCGCCGTTCCTGTTCGGACTTCCCTCCTCTGCCTCACTCCTACTGGATCTCTCACCCTCTGCCCAGCGCCCTCCCCAGCTTCCCTTCCTCTTATCTACCGGAACACCTCAGAGACTCGAGCCGTCTTGGCTCCTCAGCACAGGACTTCCCTGTGCGGTTTTCAGTTACCGTTTACAATAAAGACATTTTTACTTTACTGCTTTGGACTTGTGTGATGATTCTGCATGTCTTGGGTTAGGCACTTACCTCGAGCCATGACAGAGGGTTTATTTATTTCATATAGGGTCCATGTCCCTATACGGTCCGTGTCCCTGGTAAGGTTTAGGATTGGATTTTGGAGGAAGGCTGGTATTCCAAAAAGGGGGTGGGGGGTGGTTATGTTTTTTTAGGGTTTTGGTTAAGTATGGAGTTTGAGGTCAGGTTTATGGGCCTTAGGGTTAGTACCAGGGGATAGGGTCAGGTGTATAGATGTATGGGTAAGGACCACAGGAAGGGTTCAGGTTCCTGGGCCTTAAGGACAAAGGGAAGGGGTCAGGTGGGTATATGTTGATGGGATTGGATGAGTACTGTTGTGTTTTTTTTTTTATACAGTTTTGTAAAATTTTACCAGACATGTTTTAGCTAGCATCTCTACCCATCATCAGAGATTGTCTGTGTTGGTGTCACTTCCTTTTATCCGCAGGCAGAAGAGGACGATGTCGCCCTCTACTGCGTCCCTTGCCTGATCTGATGCCACTGATCGTTTCATTCATACTTTGTCATGTACAATCATTTAGTTTAGAAAAATAAAATTTAATTCCATTTTCCTAATATTATGGCTTCCTTGTTCGGTAGGAAGGTCTTGTGCAGTGATTCTTGTTTGGTGGCCAGACAGATGGGATGTTTATGTCTGCAAATTAAAAAGTTAGTTTCTGGTCATTTGTGACGTAAATACTGGCCTTTGGGTACGCTACAATAACAAGACTACTTTGGCAGTGAGTGATGACACTGATCAGCCTCAAAAAGCGCCCTAAGTAACATTAATAGTATTAAAAGCATTTATTTTATAGAAGTATATCATAATTTGAACTGGAATTCCACCGAGCTTTCCAGAGTCGGTAGTTAGTTTTTAAATGCTAACGGTGCTTTTTTTGTTGTTGTTGCTTCCATTCTGCTTGCAATAGAGCCCCGAAGGGGGGGCCAGGGATGGCCATGCCCCCCCCCCCCCCCAGCAAAAGCCAGTGTTAATAAATCATATTAATGTTCACTCAAACCATAAATTGATCTTATTTATTCAAGACATCATTGTAAAACAAAATGGAAAATAATACAATTAATGAGTAAAGAAATAATCAGAATAAAAAATACATGTTTCTGCTGCTCACCATTTTAAAAAGGTTTTATCTCCATGGTTTTTTGTGAACTCAGCAACAGGTGAATTAAACTAAAAAACATAAAATTTTTAATAAAATTTTAAATAACTGAAATGTATTTTTCTGAAATGTTTGTGTTTGTAAAATTGTAGTTAAATGTTTTGGATACGTACTGTTTTCCTAATTAAAAACAAAGGAGCAATGCAATACATCGCCACAGGCTAAACTCTACCTGAGTTACCACAAGGACCAGCTTGGTGTACCACCCCAAAAATTTCTTTCCACAACAAATATCAACATTTTCTGGAGGCGCCCCGGTCTGGTTCACCAGCTACTCTTCTAATTTTACTGCTGCTGGTTGTTTTGGATGTCTGCTGATGTCATTTCCTACTCAGCTCAGCTACTCCACTGGGCCATTCTGAGTACCTACTCCAGAGCAGGTACTCAGAAGGTTCCTGACAACGGCCCGAAAAACGGACAGCCCGGTCAGGGGGAGACATGCGCATGTCGGGAGGTTCCAGTAAATCTACCCTGAAGTTCTTGTAGTAGAAACGCACCTAATGTGTTTGTTGGTCGGTTCTCTGTGGTTTGTGCTCCCTTCGAGTAGAATGTCTGGAGTTTAGCTGTTCTGAGGAGGGATCTAGAATAAGCCCGTCTTTTCAGGGCCCCGAACAGGATTGGGGTTAGGGAAAGTTTCAGACACAGCACTCCACACAGCTGGTCCTGCATGAAATCACCAGGGAATAAAAAGATCATGCGTGATTTCAGCAGCGCACAACTGGAAATCTGCATGTGTATTTTAATGTGAAAGTTTCCTGATGTTTTACACTGCTTTTGCTTTTGACTAATCACTGCTGAGTTTGAACTGTACTGGAAGTGCAGCATGTAAAAACTAGACTTCAAGAGCGAACTGCCATTACGCTTCAGGGCTGCTTCCAAAACTTGATGCTTCGCAGCGGGTGGAAATGCAACCACCATATGTAACAGTGGTCTAACTGTTGAGTGGACTTAGGCATCTGGTGGAAATGCCCGGTAAGTATGGAGGAGGCTGCTGAGTGCAAGTAACTGAAGTACATTGCAGGTGATGCACAACCTGGCTGGAAGATGAAGGTTTGACCTGTCGAGGTGGGACGCACAGAATTTATAACCATTACAACATCAAGGGTACTACACACGGTTGGTCGGATATTTGATTTTTCACCTGCCAAAATGATAAAAATAGGATATTGGAAATGTTAAAAAATGTCCAATTTTTGATAGGCGGATTGGTGCTGCGTCTGCAGTGATGCAGGCGCAGCACCGATCTGTCGTGGTGAAGAGAGAGCCGAGCCGGAAGGCAAAGCTCTCAATTTACCGGTTGATCTACGTTCCTACCCTCACCTATGGTCACGAGCTTTAGCTAGTGACTGAAGAATGAGATTGCAGATACAAGCGACTGAAACTAGTTTCATCCGCAGGGTGTCTGAGCTTCTCACCCTTAGAGATACGGTGAGAAGCTCATTCATTAGGGAGGGGCTTAGAGTAGTCCTGCTGCTCCTCCATATCAAAAAAGCCAGTTAAGGTGGCTCAGGCATCTGGTCAGGACGCCTCCCTGGTGAGGTTTTCCAGGCACGTCCAACCAGGAGGAGGCCTAAAGGTAGACCCAGGGCACGGTGGAGGGACTATGTCTCTCACCTGGCCAGTGAACACCTTGGGATTCCCCTGGAGAAGCTGGCCCAAGTGGCTGGGGAGAGGGAAGTCTGGGCCTCTCAGCTTAAGACTGCTGCCTTCACGACCCAACCCCGGATACATGGAAGAAAGTTGATAGATGGATGGTGCAAAGAGCGCTGGGTTTGATTGTGTCAGTCTACAGTAATTGTGTGAGGAAACTGTTGTCAGTTTTTTGGCTAGTCTACGATAAGTGACCCACCGCAACAGAAATGGCAGCACCTCATTCCTGGGTCAGCTGCATGTTTTGAAGTTAATGTATAATTTCTTTTTTTTTCTAAAGCTGAACGATTTTGACTTCAGAGATCTTCAAGGTGTTTTTTTTTTCTCCCCATGAACAAAACGATAATGCATCAGATATTAAAAGTCTGGGTGAAAATTTATTTGCACCAAATACACACACAGCTGCCTTTTACAAGTGATTCAGTTATGAAATAAAATAATTCCCTAAAATTAAACAGTGCACAAACTTTGTGCAACAGTAATGAATACCCTCATTCCCTGCTAAATGACTCGTTCTGCCTGACGAGGCCACAGAACAGATGACACATCCTGAATGAAACTATGTGCAAACTGGTACAGCATCAAAAACACGGGGAGGCAGATGGAGATGTCCAGTGTTTTTTTTTGTGTACATCTTTATGCACCAGTCTGCAACATGTGAGCGGAAGAAATTTAAGCCGCCTTTTACAACATTTACATATACTTATGACTGTTGCACTTTTACATTTTATCTTAAAGGACATAAACACTTCAGGTGTGACAAACGTCAAGCTGATTCATTTCCTCAAGAATGAAAACAGAAACTTTAGAAAAACTCATACCTCGACTGATCACACACATTGTTGTCCAGTTCACTAGTATATTTATATTGGAGTCTTCTGCTCATCACAAAAAAGCTGCTACGTACATCCTGAAATCTCATCCCTGAGCAGAGGTCTGCAGGATCAAGGTGGCTGGAAATAAAAACTCATCCAGAATACATTACTAATAAATAAATAATTATTATGGAGACTAATCTTTTGTTGTTGTTGCATGCACATTAGCACAAGTGAGTGCTCTGGCTTGAAGACTGAGGGGGCGTTGCTGTCCTGGTGACGTAGGATAGGGGACAGGGTCACCAAGATGAGCAAAACTATTGAAAATCACCATCACTAACTCGTTAATGCTCCTTCTTGTAGTAAAAGTAATCAGATGTATAGAAGTAATAATCCCCCAAAAGTGGAGCTGAAGTGCTTTTAGCACCAAAACGAAGCACGTCAACAGAATGCTGAGATACTAAAATGAATGGGTACATTTTAACGTCTGCCACGTCTTGCCTTAAAGGGTGTTTGCAAGTGGCAACTGTAAATCTGAATGACTAGTAAGCAGGATGTGTACCATCAACGAGTAGTCCTCAGTGTAGCACCACTAAATTTAGAACCATTGATATGGAAATGGAAATAAACACAACCTGAGATTACAGGAAACACACGATTCTTACTTGCGCACGCACGCACACACACACACGCATATATAACACAAAAGTAGTGGTATGTAAACTACAGGATGTCTACCCAGCGGCATACTGTGTTTGTGTGTATGCTTACATCTATGAGAGAGAGAGCGAGAGAGAGAGAGAGAGAGATGTGGTGTTTCACTGATGGATGGTCTCTCCTCAGTAGAGAATAGATTCCACAGTTTCAGTCTGTTTGAGGTGAAACCGTCCTTGGGGCTGGATCTTGGGTTTTCCAGGTCTTTGTCAGAACTGTAGGAGTGGTCCCCTGAGTCCTCCTAGACACTTGTAATCGATGCAAGGCAGGTATTGGGCTTCTGAATCTTCTCCGTTTGGGTGCTGGTAGGTTCAGAAACAGCATGGAAGGAGAAAGAAGGAACACTACCACTACTGATGTTAAGGTGGCCTGGACTCAATGCCATGTTCTGACGTCTGTTTCGTTCAACAATTGATGAGGTGTTTGACGCTAAACTCTCCCTTGTTCTGCAAAGACAAAAACACAAATTATGAATGTCCAGCAGCCTTCAGGACCAAAGACATATGACCTCAAGACCAGAGACACAGGAACTTCATTCCACCCTGCAATTCTACTGGGGCATTTCTGAGTACGTACCCCAAGGCAGGTACTCGTGTTTTTCCTGAAATGGCCTGGAAAGTGGTCCTTTCAAGCTGGCTTGGTGAAATGGAGACACGCACATACAGTGAAGCACCATTAAAATTACCCAGAAACTCAAGACAGTAGAAATGGGCCTAGTCACAAGGGACCCTCCAGACCGATATGCTCACTTGCACAGGCAAGTTCCATGACATTTCTGGGAGGGTGGAAGGTGACTGGGAAAATACAGCGGATTAGTGTTCTCAGCCATTGTTTCTCCATACAGTATTAGCCTTTAAGGAATTTGCAAAGATGATAGCATATTGTGAGCATTTGGCAATGAGTGACGCTACTCATTGTCAAAAGGTGCCCACAGCAGCAGAGAATAACGAGATCCACAGTGAAAGAAGCAGGTGGTTTGCTGTGTTTCTGTTTGCTATGCTGTCTTGCACAGCAATGGCAGCGATGAATACAAGCTTTTCTTTTCCTGCTTTGCCAGCATTCGTTAATTTTACAAATGCTGATTGTTTGGCAAAATATGTTAATATCCTTTCCTACCGAGTTACAACTAATCAGCATGAGGTCACCAGCGACTACTGGGGCACACACTCCAAGGCAGGTACTCATTTGGTTCCTGAAATGGCCTGGAAATGTCATGACTCCCAGGCTGACACCCTCCTCTGCCCCTGCTGCCTCCTCAATCAATTAATTAACATCACCTGCACCCTGTCATCAGCTCATCTCACTCACCTGCTCCCCCTGCTATATATTCACCAGCCAGCCACCAGTTCCCTGCCAGATTATTGAATGCTCTTTGCCAGTAGATCTTCCAGCCTTTCACCTTGCCTGATCACAGCCTCTGGACCTCGTTTTCACGCCTGACCCCTGCCTAGGACTCTGCCTGCCATCAGGACCCTCGCCTGTCTTTGTCCTCTTCCCTAGCCTGCTCCATTTACCTGCTTTGCCTTGTTCTGGTTTTTAACCCACGCCTTCTCTCCGACTCTGTCTCCTGCCTCGCCCTCCTCGGGCAACGCCACATCTAATAAAGGTGCTTTGCAGTGTTTGGTGTCATCACAGGTCCTTCTAGTTCATTTCATGACATGAAAGTGGACTTTCTGATCTGGCCCAATAAAATAAAGACATGCACATATGGTTAAGGTCTGGTGAAATTACCCAGAAGTTCAGATAGTAGAAATGGGCCTAGTGATTCGGGGTCTTCAAGATCAGAGACACGAGACATTCAGAGCCAGAAACACAGAGTCTTTAGGAGAAAAAACACAGGGCCTTAAGGGTCAGAGACACTGGGTCTTTAGGAAGAGAAACACAGGGCCTTAAGCACCAAAGATCCAGTGGCTGTGGTTATAGCCACTGTGGCCATAACCACAGCCACTGTGACTACCGACCATCGACATAAATATACTGTACATCTCCTTTCCATAGGCTCCAATATCACGTTTTTGAGGCCAAATGGGAGGTGGCCACCGCCGCCATTTTGACCGTGTCACAGGTTCCGTCAAGCCCAGACAATTCCACAAAAGGGAAGAGAGGTGGAGCTGAGGGTGGGGCTGTAAGGCTGGGATCAACTGAGGACACCCGGTCAACTAGCTACAATCTAACCTGAAGCTAACCCTGGCTAACCCAAAGCTAACGCGGAGGTGGGAGCTAAGCTAACGGAGGTAGCAACCTAGCTACAACCGGAGTTAACTGTGCACAACACCAGAGCTTCTGAGTCAGAGATATGCCGGGCAGACCGCATAAAACCGGGTGGAACACAGAGGTCTCCAGAGAGCTCCACAAGCCGGCAGCCGCACAGCAGACAAGCGCTGCTGCGATCTGAGATGCGCAGAGCTGCCGCTGGGGAGAACCGGGTGGAAAGGTTTCCATCCCAGAGCGCCACGATTAGCTGGTGGAGGAGTTAACATTATTTACTTGATCTCCATAGCATGTCCCCGGCTCACAAACACTCCTTCACCAGCCGTGGCTAACGAGCAGCCAGTGATCGCTCCATATCCATATAAGCTGGCAGCGGCAGCCAGTTTGTTTACACCGAGGCACTGTGAGCCGCGTGAAACGGGTGTTGTGGGAAATGATGTTCCTCTGAAATATTTGGCTTCCCTAAGGCAGTCAAGAGCGAATATTTCCAAATCCACAGGACTTATTGTCCATGATGAGGACTAAACTACCTCAAATAAAAGATGTTAAAGTGAATGAGATTACATCTTTTTACATAACTTTCAAAAATGATAAATAAGCTTGCTGCAAAAGAGAGAACAAGAATGTTTTTTACTGTATCTTTTCTATTGTTTATAGGAGGAAATACAGATAAAAATCACAAGCACAACATTATTAAATTACATCATTTTACCATAAAAATTGATCACAAATGTTGTGAAAATAGCCAGAAGTGCGATCTCCCGACACGGTGGACAGAATATTTCAGGGGAACATAATTTCTCACAACACCTGACGTCACCCCTCCTCCGTGTGTGAATGGTGACAGCTTCAAGAACAGAACTATCTTGCCTCCTTCAGAGCTGGTAGGTTGATAAACAGTCAATTATAAATGCTTTTCAAAGAGGTCGAGTAGCTTGTTTTAAGCTATGTGTGGGTTAGGAAAGTGATTATACAATCAAACTCATGAGTGAGCCACCGTAGCTGCAATACTGTCTCTGAACTGCACGGCGCTAAAGAGTCGCATTTTTTCATCATGATTTCAATGGATTTCACACACGGGGCCTTTAAATAATAACAATGGTGCAAATATGATAACGTTTTTAAATATTGCACTTAAAAACTGCCAAAACAATGGTTCTCAGTTAAGCACTGACCTATCACAACCTTTACCGTATAGGAGTCTGTCCGGGCGGTGGGTGCCGTCACAACAATTCATAGCTATAGCCGTTGGCTGTTATCGTAGCTACGATATAGCAGTCACAGCCATTTGTGGCTCTGGGGGCACCCTCGTGGAAGTGGCTACAATTGGAGCTTGGCCCTACTGGTTTTTTTGAAGAGTCAGAATATTGTGCTCTACGATCATGTAAACACCAAAACTAACAAAAGAAAGAGCAGACTCACTGAGGGCTGGGCAATAAATCGAATATTTATCGTTATCAAAATTTCTGACTCGTCTAGATAATTTTCCCACACCAATAAATTTGATAATAAAAAAGTGTACCACCTTGAGTCACGTAAAAATGTGACTCAATGTAATACATGTGACCCCCCATCTAGTGGACAACCTTTGTTTCTGCGCATACCTGTAGTCATCATCCATTTTTAGCTATTGAGGTGAAATCCTCAATATATCGTGATGTTGACTTTATGCGATATCGCCCAGCCCTAGACTCACTTCTTACATCAGGAAGAATCAGCGTGTTTCTAGCTTTATCCATTCTTTCACAATTCACTGTCAAAGTGTGAGCTGCAAAAGCTTCTTCAGTCTGCGCCTCACGCCCCAAAACCATCTCCTAATTCATGTATTTCCTGCTTCCTGATCACGTTACGTGTGTCACACACAGATGAAGATCAGCTTTACAGACGCAATGTTTATTCTCACAGTGCGGGGGCTTGTTCCCATGCCTGCTACGTCACGAAACGCAATTGACGACTTCAGTGAATTGTAGTTTTAATGTACACACACAGATTTTCACAAGAAATCAAGAAATATTAGCTTTTATATTTAATGATGGTGTTTTGCAGACTAAGTTACTCACCGTGGAGAGTTGAATCCACTGTCCACTGTGACGGAACTGGAATCCATACTGTCTAGTCTAGCAGAATGGGCTGCCTGCTGACTCTGATGTGGCTCTGGATGGTTTTCTTTAGCACCAGAGAAAGTAAGAGTTCTCTCAAACCTCCTCTGCAGGTACCTTTCCTTCTCTCTTTCTAACAGCCATTGTGTTGTCCCTGCTTCACACCTTTCCAGCTTAGAAACACTTCCTTTAGGCTTTTCACTTTTTTCCTTACTCCCCTCCACTCCATCTTCAAGTTCATCATCATCATCATCATCTGATACATTATAGTAGTCAAAAGAGACCATTGCAGCATTGGATGTAGGCTCAGCACCGTGGGCAGGATCCGATGGTGTTACCACTAGTGGTTTGGAAGCATCAAAGCCGTCATGGGAATTGAGAGCGTCGCAGGATGATGACAGATTAATCGAGGCAAGATGTTTGGGTTTTCTCAAGGAGCTAGAGCCTGACAAAGGGAGACTGGGAGGAGGTTTAAAGAATGTGTCTTTATTAAAACTATCCTTGTTTTTCTCCCAACTAGTGGAGGCACTGTGAGCAAGCTGTCCATTAGGAATGGAAGGGTCAGGTAAGGAGAGAGGTGTTAGAGGCAAGCTACCACCTTTTGCTCCCACCTTTGACAGTTCCTCCTTATTTTCTGCTGAATGGGGTGTATGCCTATCGGTTTGTCTTTCGGTGATGCTTGGTTTTAATCCTTCGTGGATTTTGCCAAGAGTTCCCATTGTGTTAGTCTTTGAGAGTGAAACATCTGAATTAGAAGAACATTGGTAATATTTATCATTAGAGTTGGAGGTAAGTAATGGTGCAGGTGAATATGCTTGCAAGCTGTCTTTGCTCTTACTTTTGTCAAAGTTCCGGCCTGCATCCAAACCAAGAGAATCGGCTGGACTTTTAGATGTAGGGGGGGTTGCATGAGTGTAGTGAGAGGAGCCCTGTTTGGCTCGCAGAGTGCCATCATCAGTATAGTAACGGCTACGATCATCGTAATAGTCAAGAGGTCCGACCAATCCAACGTCAAGTAGTCCTTTTGAGTTGTCCATAGATCTAGAACGATCCTTGGCCTTGCTGCTGCGTTCACTCCTAGACTTCCTCTCCTGGGTGTGGGAGTGTGAGCGGTGGACTTTAGAATGATGGGATGATGGACCATGACTTGGTTCAGGGAATGGCATTTCCATGCGTCGCTTTGTAAGCTCTCCAGAAACATCCCACTCTGGCGCAACAGGCAGATGAGAAGAATCAAGAATGTTGGGGATGCTGTGTGCAAGGTGAAGCCAAGCCCTTTGCCGTTCCATGGCTAGGACTTGTTCTCTTGGTGACTGAGCCAGTGAAGTGGAGTATCCTCTGTAGTCTCTGTCACCTTGCTCTTTATGAGACCCATCGCTTGGCTCAAACCAAAAAGCTCTCGTCTTGCTATGTGAGCGGCTAGGTTTAGTCTGAGACTGTCTTCGGTGTTTACCCCCACTCCGTCTACTCCTGGAGCTCTGATTGGCAGACGATGCTTTGTTTCTTTGAGCACGTTCTTCTTCAAGTCGCTTCATGACTGCTGTATGACGTGCAAGGTTTTCTACAGTAAGGTCAGGATTAATTCTACGTATAATCTCCATCTCTATGTGTCGCGGCAGGTGGCTAAGCTCCTCCTCATCATGGAGTGGCCACTCCTCAGGAGGGAACTGTGCTGCAAAGGTAGCCAGCTGCTTTGTCTTTTCCTTCTTGAAGCTCAGACGAAACAACTTCAAACCAAACTTCCGCCCTCCTGTCCCACTTTCTACTGCTTGTTTCTCAATGTCTCCAGTCCCTCCTACCCCAACAACACCCCCTCGCTGTTTGGTAAGTGTGTCCACCTTGAAGGGAAATGCAAGGGTACCACGGCTCCTTTCCGTATTGCCTCCCGATTGCGGACCAGGTGTTTGTGAGGAAGGTTGTGATGAGTGCACCTCCCTGTGATCTTTAGGAGATCGACGCTGCAGAGTAGTGTGATGACTAGGAGGGTCATCTGCACGATAACAGCTGTTGTAAAAGCAGTCTTCACCTACAGCATAGTGGTTCTGGGTGGACTTTGGGTGTGCTCGATCTCGCACCCCTCCGGAGGTGGGAAGCGTTGCGGTTCCAGAGGCAGGGACTGTGCACTGAGTTTGCTGATGCTGCTGTTGTTTCTGATGCTGGTGTCGGTCAGCTGATCGCTCGTCTAAGTGATACCACTTAGAACTGGTTCGGATTAAACTTGGAGTGATGAAATAGGTTTGAGGGGTAACAATGAAATATCCATCAGAAGTAGGGTAGATCTTACGCTCATGGACCAGCAGGCTTAGTGTATGATGCAAGGCCTCCTCTGTTGGCAGGGGAACACCTAAGCAAAAACAGAGATGGGAACTAATTAACACAAAAGTAATCTTTATCCATTTCAACCCAGTAGAATGACACCATAATAGAAAAATGTATTAACATAATGATTAATGATATTATAATTATATTTAAAACCAAGATCACCATATGCTCTAGTCTCAGGCCCTGTCCACACGTAGCCGGGGATCTGCCAAAACGTAGATATTTTTCTACGTTTTGGCCTGTCATCCACACGAAAACTGAGTTTTTTCACACGAAAACGGATCTTTTTAAAAACTCCGGCGAAAGTGAAGATCTGCGTTTTCTCCGTTTTGGGTGTCTGCGTGTGGACGGACGAAACCGGAGTTTTAATGTCCGCAACGTCACTTTCCGCGACAAAAAATGCTGACATCACGTGTGCGACCTGTGTTTACACTAGCCGGCATCATGGAAGCCCTCAGAGCTGCTCTCTGTCACTACCCGATCCATCAATTGTCCAAGCGCTTTCTGCTTGTTTGTTTTTGCAAGCGGAATTACTGATCCTTGTGGAAGACTACAGACGAAGGACGAGGTTAAGAATGGGGGAAGTACTGCCACCTACAGGTCTGGCATGTCCATAACAACGTATTTATCCGGGTACGTGTGGACAGAGTTTTTTTTTAAAACGCGGTGGTGTGGATGTAAGTTTTTGGAGGGGCGGATATTCGTTTTCAGAAAACCCCGGCTACGTGTGGACTAGGCCTCAGGGAACCAAAATAAATTCCCACCACTGTAAGGTGAAAGAGATGGTAGAACTTATAATTAGAACAAATTTTTGAGTTTTGGTAATCCATCATTATATGTGAACATTTCCAGAGAAGAGTCAGAGTAGTCCTTAGAGTGGCCCTTCGTGTTAGAGCAGACTCTGCATGCTATGACTGATGTCACCCGCCAGTAAATTACTGATAACCAGCAGACAGAACTAATACCTAAAGATTAAACTAATCCCTTTAATATTATTTATTTTATGTGTACAGTGATTTTTGGGGGGGATTTTTATTAAAAGATCAAAATATTTCACCACACTTTTATTAATCTTCAGCTTTGTTGAATATAAAATTAAACTGACACCAAAACCAATGATGGCATTAGTGGGTTTTTTGGAGTAATCTGATTTCTAGAAATGTTTCAGGCTAAAGGTGGATTTATACTCCTGTGAGCCCTGGTGTCAGAAATTTTACTTTCAGACTTCCATGTCACCTGGGGAATGTTGCAAAGCAATTCCCCGTCAGGACAGCTGAGGGCCTAGTGCAGGGCTATTTATTTGTGGGCCTGGAGGGCCGGTATCCAGCATGTTTTAGTTTTAAACCTGCTTCAACACACCAGATTTCAATCAGCCTGATGAGCTGCTGCACAGGTGATTCAACGAGTGAATCTAGTGTGTTGGACTAGAGAAACCACTAAAACGTGCTGGTTACCGGCCCTAGAGGCCCGGAATTGACTAGCCCTGGTCTAGTCGTTTTCCTGCCACCATTGTCTCTGGTCCATGACGGTGTGTTTACGATTGTGCATTTGTCTTTATATTGCGTTTATGTATTTCATTCATAGACTTTTAATACGAACACCTCATTCTCCTCCACCTCTTCATGCGGTTGCCACATGTAGTGTCCAGGAATGGTCAGTTTTCATCTACAGTTTGACCTTTTCAGTGACCGGTCATCTACAGACATGAATCTGCCTCTCTGCATCCCTTAATCTTCCAAGCTGCAGGAAAGATTCACCACTGCGTGTTTACACTCTGATTGTCAACATCATGTTCCTTCCTCAAGGTTCCTCTCTGCCAAGCTGCGGCCTTCTCTGTCCGCTTGCTTCACAGGACAAAAGAAGAACTTTTACAACTCATAAGTTAAATAATCATTAAATAATAATATGGTTGAATGGACAAATGTTATATGAATAATAATATTAATGTTTGAATAATCTGTGTCTAATTCAATGAAGTTGAAATGAATTTTAAAATTACAATGAAACATTTTAATGTTATGATCAGTAATGTTTAGTTTAACAAGTGAGTCATTATCTACACTCAGACACAATGTTCATTAGAAATAAATTAAAGTTAATGTCACTGCACATAGATATTTTCTTACCCACAAATCAGAACATCCTGTATCTGAGAAGGCGTGATGTTCTGAGGGTTGTTTGTTAACACCTCTTAACATGGCATGTCCCGATTGGCCAAGTAAATCATAATATGAGAATATTAAAACAGGATCACTTGCGGAGTGTTTCAGCATTCCGTTAGTTGTGAGAAGAACTCCGGACTGGCCACCGGAGGAAACTCTCTAACCACCGCATCTCTCGACAAGCTTTCGACAAGCTAAAAGCTGCCTGCAGCTGACACAGCAAAATGGTTCCTTCAATTATTCAGAAACAGCTGTTCTAGACGCAAACGTCGTCGTTGTCTTCCTCTGCTTATCCGGGTCCGGGTCCGGGTCGCGGGGGCAGCATCCGAACTAGGGAGCTCCAGACTGTCCTCTCCCCAGCCACCTCCACCAGTTCCTCCGGCAGGACCCCAAGGTGTTCCCGGACGAGATTGGAGATGTAACCTCTTTAACGTGCCCTGGGTCGACCCGGGGGCCTCCTGCCGGCAGGACATGCCCGAAAGACCTCCCCAGGGAGGCGTCCAGGAGGCATCCTGACCAGATGCCCAAATCGCCTCAACTGACTCCTTTCGATCCAGAGGAGCAGCGGTTCTACTCCGAGTCCCTTCCGAATGTCCGAGCTCCTCACCCTATCTCTAAGGCTGAGCCCGGCCACCCTGCGGAGGAAACTCATTTCGGCCGCTTGTATCCGCAATCTCATTCTTTCGGTCATTACCCAAAGCTCATGACCATAGGTGAGGATTGGGACGTAGATCGACCGGTAAATCAAGAGCCTGGCTTTCTGGCTCAGCTCCCACTTGACCACGACATATCGGCTCAGCGTCCGCAACACTGCGTACGCCGAACCAATTGCCTGTTGATCACCCGATCCCTCCTACCCTCACTCGTGAACAAGACCCCGAGATACTTAAACTCCTCCACTTGAGGTAGGACCTCTCCCCCGACCCGGAGTTGGCAAGCCACCCTTTTCCGGTCGAGAACCATGGTCTCAGACTTGGAGGTGCTGATCCTCATCCCAGCCGCTTCACACTCAGCCGCGAACCTACCCAGCAAGAGCCGAAGGTCAGAGCTGGATGAAGCTAGGAGGACCACATCATCCGCAAAAAGCAGAGAAGAGATTCTCCTGCCACCAAACTCGACACACTCCACACCACGGCTGTGCCTAGAAATTCTGTCCATAAAGGTAATGAACAGAACCGGTGACAAAGGGCAGCCCTGGCGGAGTCCAACCCTCACCGGGAACAGGTCCGACTTACTACCGGCTATGCGGACCAAACTCACGCTCCTCTGGTAAAGGGACTGAATGGCCCTTAACAGAAAGCCACCCACTCCATACTCCTGGAGTGTCCCCACAGGGTGCCCCTGGGGACACGGTCATAAGCCTTCTCCAAATCCACAAAACACATGTGGATTGGTTGGGCAAACTCCCATGCCCCCTCCATCACCCTTGCAAGGGTATAGAGCTGGTCCACTGTTCCACGGCCAGGATGAAAACCACATTGCTCCTCCTCAATCTGAGATTCAACTATCGATCGGACTCTCCTCTCCAATACCTTGGAGTAGACCTTTCCAGGGAGGCTGAGGAGTGTGATCCCCCTATAGTTGGAACACACCCTCAGGTCACCCTTCTTAAAGATGGGGACCACCACCCCGGTCTGCCACTCCACAGGAACTGCCCCCAATGACCACGCAATGTTGCAGAGACGTGTCAACCACGACAGCCCTACAACATCCATAGCCTTGAGATACCCAGGCCGAATCTCATCCGCCCCCAGGGCTCCGCCGCTGTGTAGTTGTTTGACTACCTCAGCAACTTCTGCCCCCGAGATTGGACAGTCCATCCCCATGTCTCCCGGCTCTGGTACCTCCTCGGAATGCACGTAGGTGGGATTGAGGAGCTCCTCAAAGTATTCTTTCCACCGTCCGACTATAGCCCCAGTTGACGTCAGCAGCTCCCCATCCCCACTGTAAACAGTGTGAGCGAGTTGCTGCCTTCCTCTCCTGAGGCGCCGGACGGTTTGCCAGAACCTCTTTGGAGCCGATCGATAGTCTTTCTCCATGGCCTCACCAAACTCCTCCCATGCCCGAGATTTTGCCTCGGCAACTGACACTGCTGCACCCCGCTTGGCTATCCAGTACCCGTCTGCTGCCTCCAGAGACCCACAGACCAGCCATGCCCTGTGGGCCTCCTTCTTCAGCCTGACGGCTCCCCGAAACTCTGGTGTCCACCAGCGGGTACGGGGGTTGCCACCACGACTGGCACCGGCCACCTTGTGACCACAGCTAGCAACAGCCGCCTCAACAATCGCAGAGTGGAACAAGGCCCACTCGGAGTCGATGTCCCCCACTGCACTTGGGACGCGGTCAAAGCTCTGCCGGAGGTGGGAGTTGACGACCGTCTTAACAGGTTCTTCTGCCAAGCGTTCCCAGCAGACCCTCACTATGCGTTTGGGTCTGCCACGTCTATGCAGCATCTTCCCCTGCCATCTGATCCAACTCACCACCAGGTGGTTATCAGTTGACAGCTCTGCTCCTCTCTTCACTCGGGTGTCCAAAACATACGGCCACAGGTCAGATGATACGACTACAAAGTCTATCATCGACCTGCGACCTAGGCTGTCCTGGTACCAAGTGTACCGATGGGCATCCTTATGTTTGAACATGGTATTCTTTATGGCCAAACTGCGGCTTGCACAGAAGTCCAATAACGAAACACCACTTGAGTTCAGATCAGGCGGGCCGTTCCTCCCAGTCACACCCCTCCAGGTCATGCTGTTATTGCCCACGTGAGCAGTGAAGTCCCCCAGCAGAACAATGGAGTCCCCAGATGGAGCACACTCGTCCCAGGGACTCCATAAAGGGTGGGTAATCTGAACTGATATTTGGCGCATAAGCACAAACAACAGTCAGGACCTGTTCCCCGACCCGAGGGCAGAGGGAAGCTACCCTCTCGTCCCCCGGGGTAAACCCCAACACACAGGCAGAGGGTCTTGGGGCTAACAAAAAGCCAACTCCAGCCCTCCGCCTCTTACCCGGAGCAACTCCAGCAAAGGAGAATGTCCAACCCCTCTCAAGGACTTGGGTTCCAGAGCCAATGCTATGTGTCGAGGTGAGTCCGACTATATCTAGCCGGTACCGCTCAACCTCTGCCACAAGCTCCTGCTCCTTCCCCGCCAGTGAGGTGACGTTCCACGTCCTAATAACCAGCTTTCTTGTCCGGGGATCGGACCGCCAAGGCTCCCGCCTCGGTCTGCCACCCGATCCACACTGCACCGGACCCTTCATGTTCCTCCTGCGGGTGGTGGGTCCACAGTTGGATGAGCCCATGTATCCTGTTCGGGCTGGACCCGGCCGCGCCCCATGGGCGAAAGCCCGGCCACCAGGCGCTCGCTCACAGGCCCCAACCCTAGGCCTGGCTCCAGGGTGGAGCCCCGGTAACCCTCCGGGCCGGGTACTCCAACTCTTTGTTTTAATGTCCATGAAAGATCTTCTGAAGCGTTCTTTGTCTCACCCTTCACCTAAGACCCATTTGTCATGGGAGACCCTACCAGGGGCACAAAGTGCCCCAGACAACATAGCTCCTAGGATCATTAGGGCACTCAAACTCCACCACCACGATAAGGTTACGGTTCAAGGAGTAGAGAGTAGAAGCAAACGATTTCATCTATCTGTTGTGATCCGGGAGACAACTCTGGACTGACCTGGTCGTTCTGCGGTCTTTTCTACGAACCTCGGTACCTTGGGGTTACCCGACATCTTGGATCTGAAGGACAGTCTCCTCAGGGGTGCGTGGAACACCGCAAGATTGCATCTGATGCCGTTTTGATAAGAACCAACTTTCTAGTTTAATGCAGACCAAATTCGTTTCACACCCAGAACTCAGTTTCTTCTAGATACATGGTTCTGATAAACACACACCATTCAATTATCATACCACACACTCCATCCACTTATATTCATCCATACACATTCACACGTGTATGGTTGCACACATTCCACTGCCATTTCTCACCAGTATCATGATGGAGGGCTCTAGTTTCGCTGCACCGTTCATGTCAGTGAACACGGTAGGGTCAGGGAGGGGGGGCGGGGCATGATGCTTAGCCTAGTGGGTGGCCAAGCAAAGCCTGGCGGGCTACCAGGCTTATAAAGCGCTGGGGAAAACCCTGCTGCAATCGTCCATTTATCGTTATCGAGGTGAAATCCTCATTATATCGTGATATTGATTTTAGGCCATATCTCCCAGCCTTAGGCCCTGTCCACCCGTAGCCGGGGATCTGCCAAAACATAGATATTTTTCTACGTTTTGGCCTGTCATCCACACGAAAATTGAGTTTTTTCACATGAAAATGGATCTTTTTAAAAACTCCGGCCAAAGTGAAGATCTGCGTTTTCTCCGTTTTGGGTGTCTGCGGGTGGACAGACAAAACCGGGAGTTGTTAAGTCCGCAACGTCACTTTCCGCGACAAAAAATGCTGACATTACGTGTGCGACCTGTGTTTACACTAGCCGACAGCATGGATGCCCTCAGAGCTGCACTCGCTTTATCAATTTTCCAAGCACTTTCTGCTTGTTTGTTTTTGCAAGCGGAATTACTGCTCCTTGCGGAAGACCACAGGAAGACGAAAAGTTACGCTGACTAGATACAATTCGGGGGAAGTACTGCCGCCTACAGGTCTGGCATGTCCTTAACAACGTATTTATCCGGGTACGTGTGGACAGTTTTTTTCAAAACGAGGTGGTGTGGACGCAAGTTTTTGGAGGGGCTGATATTCGTTTTTAAAAAAAACCCGGCTACGTGTGGGCTAGGCCTCAGTGTACATGATAACGTAAATTCAGCTTTAATCATTTTTATTCTATACAAAAATGAGCTGATTTTAGACGCATTAATGTCAGTTTATCTGTATCGGCAAATATCGGTTATCGGCCATAACAGCGATCTTTATATCGGTATCGGCCCAAAAATGTCCTATCGGTGCATCACTAGTGAAAACGAAATTTATACAATCCCAATAACACACCCAATAGTATTATCAAAGCTCAGTACAACGCTACACCGCTGTAGCTCTGAACAGTTTTTAGTTAATCACTTTTATTGTGTGTTTGTGGGTAGGAATTGTTGCAGGACAGCAGTAGCTCAGGAGATGGAGCGGGTTGTCCAGTTATCGGAGGGTTCAATCCCGGCTCCGACCAGAGACTGTTGTCCTTGGTCATCCCCGCCAGCATGTGAATGGGTGAATGACTGTGTTGTGAAGTGCCTTGGGGGGTTGTGGAACTCTAAGAAGGCGTTATACAAATGCAGACCATTTACCATTTGTTTTGGTTACTGGCTTATCTTGGACGTAGGCAAGGGGTCCTCTAGGAAAAAAGGTGGGGAAGCAGTATGATCTTATACACATAAGCAGAGATGTGTTAACACAAGACTACAGGAGTAAATATTCAGTCTGAGTTAATCTGACTATCAGAATACTCTAAACATCCTCAGCTGCCTTACGCTGGCCCGCATCCAGAAAGATCTGTTTGCTTTTGACAGAATAAGTACAAATTCAGTCAGAGCAGCTGGAAATAAACGATTTTGGCTAAAACATTCAACAGGGATGATTTAAATAAAGCAAGTTTTTGAAAATATTTTCTGTCATTCATAATTTCTGTTCAAGAAAGGGAAGGGAGATTAAAAACATTTTTTAACCCTCCCACTGTCTTCATGGGTGACCCAGCGAGGAAAGTTGACCATTGAGCAGGACTGATGGTTTATCCGTTGAGGTCCACGTTGCAGGGGTGAGGTAGTGCTCATGAAAACAGTGGGAGGGTTAAATCAAATCAGAAATTAGATTTGAAATGAAATAATCAGATTTTATTTTCAAGATTTAATAGCCCATCTGTAGTACAGACCATTTTGTATAATGATTTGTACATTCACCAAAACAGAGGACATAGATCTCAAAATTCACTGGATTTAAACTAATGACCAACAGCCACTCCGACATCGGACTTCAGGAATCGTGCAATTAATTATTATAGAAACTAAAACCTAAAGCTCTTGATCCCAAAAACACTTTTAGTGAGCATAAACAAGTGGTCATGAAGCTGAACACCTCCATAACCCAGAGCTAGATCCACCCTCACAATTTGAAAAGGGTGGATGCTGCAGACCGGTTTTACCTGGAAAGCATGTCCGCAGGTGTTCCATCAGGGCTTCCTGAGTCACAGGCTTATGGATGGAGTTGATAGCAGAGATAGCCAACAGCAAAACATCTCCCAGAGGGATAAACTGTGATTGGCTGATGGGGGACATGCTGATAGGAGACACATCACCTGGGAAAGAAGTACGTAGCTTATTATGACCCAAGACTCAAATATAGTGCACAGAAGGAAAATCAGTTTTCACTGAACAGAATCACAAGATTATGACACAGCTCCACCTTTTAAAGGGGAAGTACAGTGCTGTGCAAAAGTTTTAGGCAGGTGTGAAAAACTTTTGATAATCGAACTGCTAAACAATTATTTTCATCAACCATACTTGGTGTGACCACCCTCTGCCTCCAAAACAGCATCTGATCTTCTAGCTACGCTTGAACACAGCTGTTGAAGGACCTGCACTGGTAGGTTGTTCCAAACATCCTGGAACAGGAACACAAACCTTAAAGAGCAAGTCACCCCTAAGGGCCTTCATTGACTCTGCTGACAAACTGTCATCATTGCTCCCTCTTCAAGTTAAACCTCTGCACTACACTGCATTTGTATCAGCTGTTGCTAACGGTTACCCAGTGATGTCGCCATATGACGTAGAATAAGGGGGGGGAAAAACAGACGTGCTCAAAAAGAAAATATATAAAAATTCTTCATATCCTCTGTAGTTCCTGTAGCAATTGTGCGGGGATTGATTGGTTTAGTCTGCTGAGATCTGAGTGTGTTTGGTTTTGACTTTCTTTTCTGGTTCAGGAGAATGTTGTGTAGAGAAGATGTGAAATAAATGTTACATTAGGGCTGGGCAACAAATGGAAAATTTATCGTTATTGAAATTTCTGACTCTTATCGAGATAATCTTTCCCGTGTCAATAAATCTGATAGTAAAAAATTGAAAAGATGTGTGTAGCTTGGCAACGTTCATGTCCCTTTAAGAAGCTGTACCACGTTGAGTCACGTAAAAATGTGACTCAGTGTAATACATGTGACAGCCTCATCTAGTGGACAACTTTGGTTTCTGCACATACCTGTAATTCTCGTCCATTTATCGTTATTGAGGTGAAATCCTCAATATATCGTGATATTGATTTTATTCCACATCGCCCAGCCCTATGTTACATGCATAGTGCTTAAAGTAAATCTCTTAAAACTCGCTCTTGTCTGGGACGATAAAGTTCTACATTCTGCACCTCCAGCAGATGGAGCTGGTTCAGGAGCTGAAACAGATTCAGCACCAAGGACAGATGCCAAGAAGGCACCAGAGGCCAAGAAAAGACTGCTTGGGTTTCTGTGCAGCACGCAGATCGGTTGGGTGGCTGGATTCTTTGCTGATTTAGAATCTGGAACTGGTGCCCGGACCGGGCAGCGGCCTAGGGTGTGTTTTCAAATCTAACATAGTGTATTTGAAACTAAATAAACACCCTGTTACCATAACAGATTGTAAAATGGACCTTAGTGTTGTCATTGTCAGCTCACACAAACTCAAACATGTGGCAGTATTTCCAGCTAGGTGTCACCAACAACGCTACATTGTGAATATTGAAGAGTAAGACTCCAAATCCTGCTGTTTTAAGCTCCCAACATCCGTCAGAGAAACTTTCCAAGCGTGAGCTGCCTGCCTAAGCACTACTTGTGCATCTACTCTATACTTAGTTTACTGTTCTATGTAATTATCCAAAACTACTGTGTAATGTTTAATGGTTTGTTCGGCTTTAGACGTAAACCTTTAAATCAAAAATAACTTTCTGATCACTTAATATCTCACGTTACAGAAACATAACATTAAAGACTGACAAATATAGCGATTTGTTTTATATTATGACAAATGAAACATTATGTTGTGATTAGATTTGTTTTCCCTTATTACCCAGCCCTAGGTGGGACCTTAAGCAGGTAGAGACCAATAAGGTCTGACGGTTGGACCTAAAGCAGGTAGAGGGGGCTTACCCAGGCATTTGATGGTGAAGCCTCGAGGCGGATTGAGGGACCTCCGCATCCATCCCTCCCTGAGAACCTCCAGGTGGTCCTCCTTACCCTGGATCAGCAGCACGTGCTCGTCTATCCATCCCAGGAAGAAGATCTCTGACACTGCCTCGGTAATCCGCTGATTCCACACCTGCAGCTGAGAGTTTTCAGCTTTAAAATCAGCAAAGATCTCGTATCCGGTGTGATGTCTGGGCAGCTCGTCGCTCTCCGACACCACGGTCGCCCTCGCCGCCTCCCCGGCTCCGACCCTGGCCAGCACTATGGCCAGAGAGTGCGGCGCTATCTGCAGAAACGACTCCATCCAGACGTGATCGCGTTAAGCTGTCCGTTAAATCCGCGCAGTCATCGTGTTAAGCTACCCGTTTCAAACGCCTTTAACAGAAAAGAAAACGTTCAGTCAGCATCGCGGCTCCGCTCTGCGGCAGCAGCCGACAATGAGCTGGATGTAGCCTGCTAGCTGCCGTTAGCTCGTTAGCCTACTATTAGGCGCATTTCTGCGCATTTAAGGTCCGCCTGGACGCAAAGCCGTCCCCGTGACTTCTTCAGATGATCAGTATAAACCCGCCAGCTGCTGCCCGCCACCGACGTGAGACGACATTCGTGATTTGGGGTAAAATCCTGGAGCTAGGTAGCTAAACGCTAAGCACTCCTCTCCGTGTGTCACAACATTCACGCTGCCTCGCAGTTCGCATCTTCCCCTTACTCATCCCGGGTCACAAGGGGGCGAGACTTCCAGCCATGCGGGGAGACGGTCACCTCTCGGTTCTGGCTCGTTTTATTGTGCAGGGCCGTCGCTGGATGCAGGCGGAGGAGCGAGTGTCGCTCCGGAGCTGCGTCAGGGCAGCGTCAGGAGACGCGCACCCACCCTGCTCTGCGTTCAGGACCCGCTCTAGATCAGACTCCGCATCTTCCCTCCAGGGACACCCCGCCATGTACAAATCTATGCACCCCACCACCACACCTGTTCACATACACACGATAATACATATATGTTCCAATGGCGTGTCGAGGCCTTTCAAACAGGGGTGGCCAGGTGGGGCACGGCGCGCGCGCGCACACACACACACACACACATTTAAAAAAAATGTATTAAAACACACAAACCTCTCAAAGGTTATGCGGCCAAGGGTCAGTTTAGTGAATTTGCTTCCATCACAAACTGGTTCAAACTTAGGATTTTTCTCATTTACTGTATGACTTTATCTCTAACCATATTAAAGCTTCAACCTTTTGAAATAGTGATGTCACAATTGAAGGTTTTCATGAAAAAGCTCTGGCGCCTAAAGAGTTAAAGCTTTTGGGTCGTTTAACCCTAAGCATTTTGTGGACAATGTAAAGTTATTTAAACAGAACTAGGGTGGTTTACATCCCTGGACACGCCCCTGGTAGTCATAGGTTATCGAGTAAAACGGCTCTAAAAACATATGAGCTACCAACACACTCATCACAGCCAGAGCCAGCAGCCAGACCTGACTCTGATCCCTGTTTCAGAAAAACATGGATGCATTTGTTTTGGTGGTGGAAGTGGGATTTAGGATCATTTTCACAACCACCACCAATCAAGCTGTTGTACCCCCCCCCCCCCCCCCCAACACACACACACACACACACACACACACACACACACACACACACACACACACACACACACACACACACACACACACACACACACACACACACACTTTGAAATCAAAAGAGAACTTACAATTAAGAAAAATGCACCAGACATACAAATCTCAAATGTATGGGGGCTCTGAACAGCCTTACCCGAAATTATTCATCCACTAGTTACTTATTCAGTCAGAACTACACACTTTTATTATTATTATTATTATTATTATTATTATTATTATTATACTATTATTTTATTGACAATACCAGCTGTCATCCATCAAGAATTAAGGTTCTGCAACTTGCCTTTCATCTGATTATTGCTGAAGTATTTTTGTTTTATCTCGAGAAAACAAGTTCCATCCTTTTGAGAACTGATCTTAATGCAACATTATGAAACTAGAAAACATCTTAAGAAAGGTACCAGACCTGCTGCCACTGCCAGAAACCCATCTAATCATAAAGTCCTTGATGTTTCAGACCTGGTGGGGCTGGAACAGAACACAGGTGGTTCCAATAGGTTGTCTAATCTCATCCAGTGAAGTCATATCACCAATATCCTAACGTTACTATTGATCTGTATTCTATAAAAAGAAAAGAGAAGCAGCCAGTAGAGGCGGGGCTTCCAACCAGGTGAGTCAGTTGTCAGCATTTCTGTCTCAATCCACGATTCGTTAATAAAGATTCTGAAAGCTGTGTTCTCTCTGCTGGACACGGACAGAACAGGATGAACACAGAAGAAAACACAGTTTTGTGGCGTTAGAAACCAGAGCTAAGACTTCCGTCATCTCTAGCAGGTGTTCTTTGGGTGCTAGCCCTAACCCAGTGGTTGGACGTATTGAAGATAAATGACAGAAACTGCAGTGAGTGATTTTATTTATCAGGTTAAGTTCTGGAGGTCATCACGTTACAGCCGCAGAAGTGTGTCGGTGTCATTGTGGCTTGGGAGACATGGTCCTCTGCTGGCCACCTTGACTTTCTTCTTCTTCTGTCTGTAAAAAACACAGTGTGTGTTTAGAGTATGTATTCGTGGAAGTCTCGATAAAGGTCATCAGCAGAAGAAGTAGTTTTGTGATCCGACTGACTCCCTCAGTCTGACAGGAGGTGGGGATGTCACACGCATGCAGCTTCTATGTTCCAGTAGCCATTTAGCTCAGTGAGCACGGGCCAACTTTTCTTATATAATGAATGAAGGAAGATCGAAGAGCAAAACTTCACAGAATGCAAGCGAATAAAATATCCTGAAAGTAAATTTTACTTTCAAGAAATTTGCTTTTGAAAAAAAAGTTGAAGTTGCAGAACAGAAGTATTCTTGTTATTTATTACTTACTATGCTTGTGCACCAAAAGCAATGCTCTGAAACCCGTGCAGCTATGTTGTATGCTCCTTGCAGGCAAGGGTCAGCGGCCAAACACAAAAAACAGGTTCAAAACGCTACTAAACTCTGTGCAGCTCAACGTTTAGTTAGATCTTCCTTAAACATGGGGACATACTGTCATGTTCTGTGTCCCTTTGTTCCCCAGCTCCTCCAGTTCCCACTCCAGGTTCTCCTCTTGTGCTCTCTTAGCGCCCTCATGTGTCCGTTGTCTGCATTTCTGTTGTGTGTCTTAAGTTTTACCTCTAGCCCTCTGTAGACTTCCCCAGGTGTCCTTCTAATCATTCCCCATTCCTAATCAATCTTTATTTAGTCCTCCTCATCCGTCTGGTTACTAGCTGTTTGTTTTTGGCCCTCAGGCTTTAGGTTTAGTTTTGTGTTAATGTTTATCTGCCCTCTGGTCAAGCTCCTTCCCTTCCCATTTTGTTAATCAAAATGTCCTCAGCTCACACTCCTCACACCTGTCACCTGTTTCCCTGATTACCTCCCTCCTGTTTATAAGCCTTGTCTTGTCACTCAGTGTTTGTCGGTCCATTGTTGCTGTCAGTGTGTTTGTAGTTCTGTCAGTCACGTCTCTCAGTGTTTAACCTGTGTTTTTGGATTTCCAGTTCTTGATCTGGTTTTTGGATTTTTGGCTCCCTGCTTTAGATTTATTTTTGTTCATCCTTCTAAATAAAGGATTTTTCTATATATCATCTACTGCCTCATGTCATCCTGGGGTATCTGAATTTTGGGTCCTAAACATCCCCACATCGTGACTCATACTTGTAACTGGGACCGGAGACAAAGCTCTATACATAATGTGTAAAGAGGAAACTATTCCTATCTAACCTCAGTCCTGCTATTTATTCATTTTATGTAATTTAAAGAAAACTGCATAAAGTAACTAGTCTATAATCTAGACCAGGGGTGCCCAGTCCTGGAAGGCTGGTATCCAGAATGTTTTAGGGTTAACCCTGCTTCAACACACCTGATTTCAGTCAGCAGGCGGTTAACTGCAAGCCCGATGAGCTGCTGCACAGGTCATTCACCCACTGAATAAAGTGTGTTGGAGCAGAGAAAACAGTAAGACGTGCTGGATATCAGCCCTCCAGAACGAGCATCGGGCACACCTGATCTAGACCGTCATTTGCCGAAGCAAAGATATCTTGCTTTGTTTTGCAACCTTATATATTCACAAATACAGCAGGGCTTGCCAGGCTAAAAAGTAACAGTCAAACCAACCGTTCTGATCAGACATAAACAAGCAAGTTTAGGTTAATTGAATGAAAAATGACAGAAATAATCAGGTCCAGAACAGGAACTGAAGCCCTCAGAAGGGTATGGTATGGACATGTACCTGAGCTCCGCCCTCAGACAGCCTTTAGGGTGAACCTGACGAGGGTGAACTTATGTGTGCGTGCAGGACTGTGTTATGTACCGGTTTTCCTGGCAGAGAACACATTCTGTTCCATACGTGTTGCCATCACTACCACACACTGGATCATACTGCTTGGTACAGACTCCTCCTTCATACTTGCCACAGTCAGGCTGGAAACAACCACAAGAAGTCAAACTATTCCTCTCCAAACACACGCTACCTTCTGACTCACTTTTGAGTCCTTCTGTGCTGCCACGTGGGTTTCTATTGCCTCTATCAGCAGCCATGTCACACCTAGAGGAGCTAGCTCAACTGGTGGAGAAGACGGAAGTTTGAGCTTCTGCACTGATGCCCTGTCCTCACGTAGCCGGGGATCTGCCAAAACGTAGATATTTTTCTACGTTTTGGCCTGTCATCCACATGAAAACAGAGCTTTTTTCACACGAAAACGGATCTTTTTAAAAACTCCGGCCAAAGTGAAGATCTGCGTTTTCTCCGTTTTGGGTGTCTGCGTGTGGACAGACAAAACTGGAGTTTTAAGGTCCGCAACGTCACTTTCCGTGACAAAAACTGCTGACATCACGTGTGCGACCTGTGTTTACACTAGCCAACAGCATGGATGCCCTCAGAGCTGCGCTCGCTTTATCAATTGTCCAAGCGCTTTTTGCTTGTTTGTTTTTGCAAGCGGAATTACTGCTCCTTGTGGAAGACCACAGACGAAGCACAAGGTTAAGAACAGGGAAGTACTGCTGCCTACAGGTCTGGCATGTCCTTAAAGAGCAAGTAACGTCTAAATTAACTTTTTTTTGCTGATGAACTGTATAAATGAGTGTCTAATAGTGTTTTAAATGTGTGCATTCTTTATTTTAGCATTTTGGTGCATTTTCTTTAAAAATTAAAAATTCTGTCTAAAAACCACAGTAATGCGCCACCTTCAGCTGAAAACATAGAATTTGAGTCATTTTGAATAAATTTTAGCCAATGGCTAAAGAGTAAAGTACTACATAAACCAGTAGAGTACTACGTAGCAGCTCCGTGCCAAAGTTATAAAAGCAACGAGCGTCTCGGCCACGCCCTGTGGCGAGTGGGAGTTGGATTTGCAAGCGAGTGTAGGAGGTCAGCGGTAGTTCAGCATTAGCATATAGCATTAGCATATCCTAGTCTTTAGCATATCTTTTAGTGTTATAAATACTTATTTAGTGTTAGCTTGGCTGTTGTATATTATAGTTTAGTTAGTGTTTGGCTGTTAGTGTAATTGGGAAAGTATTTCGGGTTTAGTGTTCCATATCGTCTTAGTATTGGTGAGTAGGTGTAGTGTAGTATGGTTGCGGTGACTCTGTGGGCATTTTACCCGCGATTCTGCACGCCTCCGTTTGAAGAGGGAGGCTGCCCACCGTGGCTCTTCCGCGATTTAGATGCAGCCCACCGATTCTGCTCCCCCACCACGGCGGGCTCCAGTCTGAGGTGAGTCAGCTAAATAAACGTTTTAACATCTTCTAAAGACAATTCCCTACCTAAATGCAAAGTCTGAGAGACGTGGTTCACTTCCTTTAGCTAGTCAGTCGGCAATTCTGCAACAGTGACTCTAACTGACGCAGCACTTGTTGACAACATTACAGCGTGAAATCCAGCTTGTGACCCGGTTCTGTGAGGAATTCTGTTCAGGAGGTCGCATTTCAGGCTCTCCACATCATATGTGACTGACTTTTACGTCATAACAACGATCACACACTAGGAATGTTATAAAGCGCCTATATAGGAGATTCTTTTGTATATTATCTGACTATAAACTCCAACAACAATGTGCTTCTATTTTTTTTTTCAGGCTAAATCTACCCAAGACACTGGCTGTCAGACTGATTTAGCTGCATGAATGCACTTGTCCAGGCTGATGTGAAACCTTCCCTGTAGCAAAGGTGAATTATTTTTAATAATCTTCTATGCAAACATTTTATTATCACCTTCTAGTTTTAATTTGTTTTACAGATTATTTTTACACGTGATTTTATGCTCTTTTAAACATTTATAAATGTGCTGCTTCTTTGTTTTTACATAGCCAGCCAGAATGGAGTTCACAGCCGCAGTGTGTCTGGTGACCCACGGGGACCATGATGAAAATTCATCTTCCAGAAGGTCCCAGAGCGTCCAGACCCCCTGAAAAGACCAAGGTGTGAGGTGTCTGCTGTTGATTCCAGCTTCCACCTCAGTGACAGTGCAAGCTCAGTGAACTGTTCAAGGTAAAAAAAAAAAATTAAAACATTTCAGAATTTTTAAGATATTAACAATTAAATAAGTATGTGATTACATCATGACGGAGGCTACTGATTCTGCCCGTGACACTTGGTGGTGACGTGTGAGCTGATTCTCCTGGAAAATAACTTTTACATTAAATATTTTGTTTTTGCTATCAAAAGTAAATTAACTAATAACCTGCATTATTGCAGGACATTCAGCAAAATATGGACTCTACACCATGAGGCATGCACACATTAATATTCTATAAGAGCACATAAGGTGAGCAACACCACATATTGTACTGTCCTGAATTTGTTTTCTTTCTGCATCTCATTAGCCTGGCTGATCACCTGATAACTCCTGTCATCTGGTTATGACAGCATGAGGATGTCCTCACACACCTGTCCTCACACACCTGTAACCTATCAGCTCATCTGGCAGAATAGAGAGAGAAGAGACAACACCACATCTCCTGTTCCTGGAAAGCCTTCAGCCTTCCTTCGATGACTGAGAACCTCCATCAGCTCTGTCTCCTGTCTGCCTACAATTATTATAATAAATATTGTGTTTGACAAGTTTTTTGTGCTGCCAAATATCTCATTTAGATTCCAGTTTTGATATTTTAATGGATATTTATAAATTACATTGAATATCACATTTTTGTTGCATGTTTAACTAGCTATTGTGATTAATTAAACTAGCACCTCACTGTTAAAAGCTTGTTCTAATTTCAAGCATGTTTAAGTATTTATGGACATGAAGAAAAACAGGAAATATATAAATTGAGATTTATTTAATTAATATAACAAATAAGGGGGAAAGAGTCATTGAAAGGCACATTCTTCTGGAAGTTCCTGATCCTGAGGACACCAGCAGAGGAGACCAGCTGCAGACACCAGAGACCAGCTGCAGACACCAGAGGACCTAGAACCGAGAGAGCAGCTGTTATTAGTAAATAAATAAAGAAATCAGGGCAGTTTTAGTGGGCTGAACACATTACAGAATAATTTTCTCATGGGGTATTTTCATAACTATATGCAGCAGACTGTACCTTGAGCCCAGGGCTACCGGAGAGCTATCCAGCATGTTTCAGTGGATTTTCCTGCTTTAACAGGTTAGATTAGCTGTTAAGCAGCTCAGCTATTTGTTGCTGATTAAAACCAGGTGTGCTGAAGCAGATAAACCTCTAAAACATGCTGAATACTAGCTTTTTGGGGCCGTGGAGACAAACCCTGCAGCTAATCCAATGCTATGGCTAACGGCTACTTACCTTTCAGAGGTGATTCTGTTGGGTCGGTTCTGGGAGTTTCAGGCAACTCACAAGCTCAAAACAATAAGACTCAGGTCCGCTTGTCTCCTCCAAATAGACTTGGTCCCTTTCTTCTCGAGTGTCTGTAAGGAGGGGGAGAAACGTCCTCCACTTCTATCAACTGCTCAGAGTGAAGGGAGCTAGCTTCGTCTAGTTAGCCATCGTCTTCGTCACTGCCGCGGCTCCGCCCTCTCGGTCCTCCAGGCAACGCCTACTAATGTTGCATTTTTTAAAATTGATACGTGGGTGGAGGACTCCGAGGCTCAATTGACCCGCTCTTTAACAACGTATTTATCGGGTACGTGTGGACAGAGTTTTATTTTTAAACGGGGTGGTGTGGATGCAAGTTTTTGGAGGGGCGGATATTTGTTGTTTTTTTTTAAACGGCTACGTGTGGACTAGGCCTTAGCCTTCTAGCCCCCGGGACCTGACTTGTGTTGCAGCCTAAGCAGAGAAGCCCAAACTTATCTTGTCCCAGCCACTTGGGCCTGGGGGAATCCTAAGGTGTTCCCAGGCCAGCCGAGAAGTCCCTTTCAGTGTATCCTTGCTCCATATCTCAGTAAACAAAAATGTCAAATCTGGGGGGAAGTCAATGCTAATTGGAACTTTTATATTTAAGCATATAATTCCTAAGCCAAACACTGACAATAAAATGAATGGATGTTTTTTCCCCACATTTATAAAGTTTGAGAAGGCAGTAGAGACCCACATGTCAGCACAAAAAATGCAAACAGTCAAATTTAATGAAAGGTCCCATTTCAATTTGAAAGAGCAGTTTAGATGTGCGAGATATCTGTGGCGATATGCTGCCTCCTAGTGTCCCCTTTTATCATTTTATTATACAAAAGTGTTTTAACCCTTTAGGCCTTTTTTCTTTACTGATATTTAAAGTTGTTCATGTCTAAATTTAGCTGCAAAAACTGAATGATGTCTGTTTTCCACATAAACGATTTAAACCACAAAGCCAGGTTGGTTCATGTATGAAAACGGCCCCACTCAGCTGGAGATAGAACGTTTAATAACTTCATAAAGAGTCTGATCCCAAACTCTCACCTCCACAGAGCCTGACGGCAACTCATCCTCTGGTGTTGCTGCAGTCATTGTTTTATTAGCAGCTGAAATCAGAATACCACACACACACACACACACACACACACACACACACACACACACACACACACACACACACACACACACACACACATTTCTGTACTGGAAGAAGCAGAATGATACCACTACTACTACCATTAATAACAATAATAATATTCATAGTCATCATTATCATTTATGTCTAGTCAGAAGCTTTTTAAATTGTTAGCTCATAATAAAATCCCTTCATGCCAGCTGTTGTAATGACCCATTTTGAGCACAAGGTTAGTAAATTTACCAAATGCGGTGCATGAGACATGTTAGTTATTGTGATAATAACAAAGTAGTGTAGTATTGTGGAAGTTTGAACTAAACTTTCTTAGACTTCTCACATCACAAAACTAGTAAAGCATCATCATGAAAGAAAATGTCCCTAATTTATGTTCAAAAACACATTTTTGTGGTGAACTCACCAGAAACAAGGAGCAGAAAAAGAAACAGCTGCGCAGCACACTGCATGGCTTCAGACAGACAACAGGTGCACCTCTCTCACACACACACACACACGCACGCACACACACACGGGCACGCACACACACACACACACACACACACACACACACACACACACACACACACACACACACACACACACACACACACACTTTTATAGAACCTGCTAAACAGGCTGCACTGTTAGACTTTACCTATCCACAAACTGGCAACACTGTTGCCAGCATGCTACCGTGATACATGGTTAGCCGTAACTGACCACTCAGTGTTGATCCCAGAATCAAACCGTATGTTTTGTTGCTGTAAAAAACCCTCTGACAGCGTTGCCAGTAAAATACCGTAATATATTTCACAAGTAAATTACGTCAATAATGCAACATTATACCGTGATTGATAAATATGTGTTGTGCTGTATGTGTTGAGTTAAAACTGAACAATTGGAGGTGATAGCGCTCAACCACCACTGAGAACTACATCCCCCAGAAAGCACCTCCAAAATGGCCACCGATTGGTGATGAAAAACACCTGGGCAAAGATGGTGGGGTTGCTGTTCTCAGTACAACAAGCAAGCAAGCTCTACTCATAAGTTGACTCTGAAGACGCCAATGGTTGGTGAATATTATTTTGTTTATGACGTGAAGTTGTTTAGGTTGACCACTAAAGTCATGTTGCTTATGAGTTTGATTAAATACAGGTGTTTTCAAGCATGTAGACATTTGATTTGTCATTGTCATTGTTACACTTGATGCTTTAATTTCCCATTTTAAAATGATTGAAACCTTGATTTATTGATTGAAATTTAGTGATGGAGTCATGTTTTAATTAATTCATTTACACTTTTAGTGTAGGAAGATTTAGTTTAGAACATTCTTTGTTGTATTTTATATAAATGTTGTGATGTTTAACACTTGTCTCTGTTCTTTGAAGGTTATCAACCTGATAATCACTAAACTGGAATAATAAAGATTGTTGGAAAGTGAAGGAGATGTCCCAAAGTGTCCCTTTGGAGTATAAACGTGAGTGGAACTTAACAGTATGTTTACGGTATGTTACCGTAAGCTCATTTCAAGGTATGCTACCTTTTCCAGTGATTTACCGTAAACATACACTTTTGCTACTGAAAATAGTCATCGCTGTCGAAGGGTACTGTGTTTTTGTGGGCGGCAATCTACATTTTTCATGTCGTAGTTTACTAAGATTTGAGTAAATGGTAACATAACGCAATAAAATAAAGGCTCCCCAAAAAAAAAGGTTTATACTTGTGCGCGCACACACCTGCACACTTGTTTGTGTAATTGTGGGATATATTTAAAATCAAGATGTAAACAAAATGCACTGGATTATCTTTTTTTAAATTTGATTTCTTTCCATTAAAACAGAAAAACATACCAATAAATTGCCTGTGATTCAGCTTCCGCCAGGGAGAGATAAAATTATGGTTTTGTTTGGAAATATTTGGAAGACAAAGGTAAGAAAAACAATAAGCGTCATACAACAAAACAAATATATTTAACAGCCAGTTCCTTGGAACATGGGGAGAGAGGTTGACCATTCTTCTTAGCATGTCAAGACAACTTGGGCTATGGGTGATCTGAGGAGACGGGTATGTTCCAAAAAGCAACAAGCTACACTTTAACACCTTGCCTGCGTTGCATAATTTATGCACTGCATTACAATCAAGTTTAGAAAAATGAAAACTGCTACCTAGTTTGAAGTTTTCCACTCAAATTCTGTCAGCCGTTGGAGAAAAGTTGTGTCAAGAGGATTAATGTGGACAACCTTCCGCTTCACGCTTGTCCCTGTCTTCCTGCTTGTGCCAAATTTGGATGTACATTTTGTCCCTTCTTCTGGGTTAATTCCAACAAAAAACCTTAAGGACATAAATCAGTATAATTCAAGAACCCTGGGTTTGTAGGAAAATAATGACCAACTTGGGGATAGTTCATTCATCATAGCACTGATCATATAAATCAGGGGTGTCAAACATGCGGCCCGCGGGCCGGATCCGACCCGCAAGCAGGTTAAATCCGGCCCACGAGATGGTTGTGTAAACTTTATTTTCATACTTTACAATGTAGGGTGAAAATAAACTTATCCTTGTGAGCAAGTTTTCTCTGTAATGAGTATAAATAAAACAAAGCTGCGCTCAAGACTCACACAAGAACTTGAATCACATCCTGAAGTTGGCCGCCACTCAGGATGTGACTTCTGATATTGATGTGCTGGTGAAAGCTAAAAGATGTAAAGTAAAATGAGTCAAATATACTTTAAGTGCTGCATGAAACTGATCTAGCCATGTGATCTGTAAGCTCTTTGAATCACTAAGGAATATTTTTTTTATTTATTGATTTTTTTTTTTTTCAAATTTTCAAGTACACTTCAGGTGTTGTACTTGTACTACACTGTCCTCAGGCTCCAGCCTTGTTTTATATTGATTGTATTAAAACAAAGAAAACAATCTGAAGTTTTTAATGTACCAGTCCGGCCAACTTGGGACTAGATTTCTCGTAATGTGGCCCCTGAGCTAAAATGAGTTTGACAACCCTGATATAAATGTTATGACATACCTTTGAGTTAACTCCAATGTTGCACATGCTGCCTCCTGGTATTCCAGATTCAGAACATAAAATGACCCATAGAAGACTGACGGTGCATCGGCAAAGCCGTTTGCTGTATGCAGTTCAAAGATGATGTGCCTTTCTGAACTCACCATCCAGCAGGTGGCAGTCAACAAACTCCTAACTAAATAGATAAGAGAAACACTTTCATTATGCAACATGCCATGGTAGTGTGAAAGGCAGAAGATGGGATTTACCAGATTCTGGGGGCGTGGCGACCGGACGCCGGCTGGTGCTTGTCAGGCGTGATGAGGCCGGAAATGAGAAAAGGGTGGCAGATCTACTGTACAAGGGTGTGTGTGGTCGACCTGTCATTGTGGCACCCGGTTCTGAGGGGTGGGATCGTTTGCAGTTGGTTAGGGCTGTTGGCGATGAAGACAGCAGAGTAGATGGGCAGTGTTAAAGCGCTAGGAGGGGAGGCTTGATACCTTCTTTAGGTAGTGTAATGAAGTGAGAGGTTATTACATTTTATTTAATGTGCTGTAAGGCGTGGGATTCCATAGTAAATATGAAATCCACCTTTAAACCTTTATTTAAACCAGAAGATGGGATCTTTTTATTGTAGAGATTAAATAACCTTGGTGGAAATAGCTCCCTCATCATGTTACATACCCCACTTTTCAAGGGCACGGTGGTCCGTCCAGAGACCACCTGGTCATTGAACAAACCAGAATTATGAAGAACCCCGACAACAGAGCAGGGCGCAATCCCACAGGAAGAGGCCAACAGTGGTGAGGCACGAACCCCACTCCGAAGAACAGTGTATGGTTTCAACAGTCTCGTATAATCCCTTTGGAAGCACACAAGTCAGCAAATTAGTAAGGTATCCACGTGGGGTAATAATTTGAAGCAGGAGCAAAACTTTTACGTGTCCATGGGTAGGGAATAATTCCAACAGTATATTGATCTTTGTAATTGCACTTATTGTGATTCAGTGCGGGAAAGAGCAGGCAGGTCAGGTCCCAGCGAGCAAAGTATCCCAGCAGCCATGCCGGAACAAACGGTCGTCCAGGTCCTATGAGCCAGAACACCCATCAGGAGGAGCGGAATCCGACGACGAGTCAGGTCCACCCCCAGGGAAGCGAGGATCATCAGGTTCATCACGTTACAGTAGTAAGGACTGGGAGTAGTTGGGTGCCGAGACCACGCCGACATCTGCCGCAGAAAACTCTTTGCAGCCAGACCTGAGCCATGGACCCACCCGCCGTCCTCGCAAGCTGAACCCCGGGGTGTTGGAATCTCAGATCCCGGGAAAGGGGGTCGCATTGACTGGGCCATCTAAGTACCCGGTTGCTTGATTTAACTTGTAATGAATGGCTGGTTTTATTGTAAAGGGACAAGAGGCAGTAGCCGACGAGTTCCACTGTGGAACTCGCCCGTGGTGTTTTATTATTTGGTTGTACTAATAAAGGGTATCTTTGATAATTGCTGCCTACTGGTGCTGTTTTTAGGTTCTGACTGGAGGGTAAGATATTCTGCCCGTGCACCCACTGAAACTTATATTACAGTAGCCAGTAGTAGACGGACACCAGCTGGCATCTTCCAATCAGCTCAAAGTTTTCTAGCAGATGGCCATCCCTCTTTCAAGACACTGTCTGGGGCAGAGGTTTCAGATCAAAATGTGGAGACTTGAAAAGGGGCGAGGCTATATATAGATTTGGCTAATGCTAGGTTACCGTTTTGCCCTCCTTTTCTAGAGAAAGCCCTCATAAATCGAGAGCAAAATGTAATCGAGGAACAAAAAGATCACAGCTCACCAAGCTGATGGGCAGATTTCCCTCTGCTTCCAGGGACATCCTGGTAGAGATTTCTTGAAAGACAACAAACCAAAACATTCTATGCGAAAAAAACAAAACAGCATTTATTCTAGAATTATCGGAGAAAAAAAAATTTACATCTGCCAAAAGGAAAAGGGAGTCTTCATTTTCATTGTAGTACTTCATGAGAAGTATGGCTGCTGTGCCGACCTTGTTGTAGGTTAAAACTCCTTCATCTTCTATCTCCTGAATGATATTTCTAATACCAAGGTTACATTTGAGCTTCTGGCTGGAAAAATAGTTGAGTATTCTCCTGCCTTTGGTAATGAGGGCCTGACTCAAACGTTCACAGATTTCGATACCTGCAAGTCTTTCAAAGTGACTAGACAAACATTTCCGCGTAAACAAGAAAGGCCATTGCTCTTGAATTTCATCTATTGAAACTGAGGGACAGCTGATGCTGAGAAATGTATGTGAGGAGCAGAAGATCCTCTAACTCAGGTCTTTCCACAGCTTCTGGGCCTTGAGAACTGAAAATTGCTAACAATCTATTCTTTTTTCCTTGCAGAGGAGCTTGAGTTTCTCCCTCAGGAAGCTGAACTGGCTGCCAATTGATGCAACCATAGCTATCAACAAGGTGCCGAAGCACTTTTGAAGTATCATCTCTCTCTGGACTGCAGTCT